TTTATGTGTTCCCTCCCGTGTGCTGGTAAGGGCACAGATGACAGACAGGTAGAATTCCAGTTGAGGTGGTTTAAAAACGCCGAATATGCACAGGCACGGAACAGCACCGCACAGTGTATGTAGTATGGATGGGCTAAGGCACTTAGTGGTCTGGCAACTTGCTTCAACCAGAGTGTGTGTGGTATATCAAGAAGGTCGCCCACTGGTCTTGGCTAACACAATGAAAGCTAACTGGTGGGAAAACACAAGGATGGCTGGAGCTTTCTCTCACTTCACTACTCTTGAGCTGATCTTCTTCTCTAAACTGGAGATCGCCCAGCATGCTCTGCTCCACTTCACCGGTGGGCGGAGCTACAGCTCTGCTATAATGAACTAACATTACAGATATGATTAACTACAAATACTTCACAGCCTTTTGTACAAACGGATATGTGCTATTTTCTGGATACGATTATGATCCAAGTATCTTTTGTAATTATCTGTGATCGGAAGAAAAATAAAATGTTCAGGCGCCAGCGAGCATCTTTCTCATGTCAGTCAGTCATGTGCAAGGTTCTACGTGGTCTAAATAACTAAACTGGCTAGTTTGCCTGTCTGTTAAGAGAAGGGCGGGCTGTACGTAGATCATGCTGCTCTGATTGGATAGAGAGAAACAGTATTTCTGTCCACTCGCTTCATAATTTCACTTGATCACTTTTCCTTGCATGTTTTAGGTCTGATCGTTTAGATCGCAGCTGCCTGCTCCTACGGTAAATCACATGGCGAGGACGTTTGCTATCAAGGTGCATAGTATCTAACAAGAGGGGCAAGGGTAGGGAAAAAATATAAAACGGATGGGCATTCTGACTGAGTGACAGCAACGTGGCTGCCCGCTGCAAATTGAGGACGCACAGGCTCAGAGTAGGCACACCCAGAACCCTCCGCGCGCTGGTCCTAATCTGCTGATTTATTTGCGGTGAGAAGGTGCAGGGAGGTATTTTGCCAACATTTATTTAGGCCTATTAAAACACTTTTTGAACACTTCATGAGTAGCCTATCATCCGATCGTACTATCAACTGTCAATTGACAGAAATGATTACGAATTCCAGTAGCACAAAACCAGTCTGTTGCCGAAAAAATTACCATAAGAAGCATTTTAGATAAGTGTTTACAAAACGCAGTAAGATATTTCATATGCCTTTTATATTTTTTTTCTGCGTGAAAAACATTAAAACGACCTCTGAATTCATTCAAAGTAATCTAAAACACAACCAAAACAAGCTGTGAATATATCCAAAAAGTTTGTAACGTCACAAGCTTGATATAGTCATTGCGTGCAAGGAATATGGGACCAAATACTAAACTTTTAACCACTTTAATAAACTATGATTGAATTTGTCAGAATAATTATGCAGTGGCGACTTATGACATCTTCAAATAGGGGGACTAGATATATAAAGGGTTCATTTCTAAACAGTAAAACAGATATGTATGAAAATACCCTCAAATAAAAGGTGACATTCTGTACTGTCGCCTCATGAAACATTTGATTTCAAATCCAAAATGCTGGAGTACAGGGAACCATTTGGGATGCATTCTACAACTAGCACTGATGCCAATCAGATGTTTTGATGAGCCCCTCATGCATACTAAGTAATTATATTGATGGATATTTTCCACCTTATTATTTGCTTTGGGGTCGTTAATTTTAATTTAATATTTTAAATACTTTTTAATTATTTTTGTCCATAACCTGAATGCCAAAATGCCAAAACATTTAGGAGATAGAGGTGCTCGAAGTTTACCATTTTGCATACCCCACCCTACCATGAGACATCCATGTATTTTTTAAAATAACAATGATGTAATCTTTTTACCTTTAACATAAAGTATCTAAAAACGTGTGCACTCCTAGTTTTTTTTTCTTTTCTTTCATTTTTGCATGTAGCTTAGACCCGATTTGACATCATCTGAGGTGTTTGTGTTATGCCTGCCATCGGTTGAGACACAGCATACTTGAATACAGGGCGGGTTTCATTTCAGTCAAATAATAATTCATAGAATGGACATATCCCTTCAGACCACTGCAATTTAGCTGGAAACATCATTGCAATTTAAATTTAAATTTGAACTTCCAATTACTACAACAAAGATGGCCGCTGATCCACCGACTATCGAATGTTAACTTATTAAATGGGAATGTCTATTCTACTATCTATAGGTTTCCAAATGAAGATTGACAGTATCATTTAAGTCAACATTCTCTGTGTGGACCTCCAACCATCTTTGTGCTACCATTTGAAATGTCCATTTTATTCCCATTTTAATACATTTATCAGCCTAAACATGACACCCACCCTGTATTCAAGAGCACGCTGTGTCTCAACTGATGCAGGTCACAACAGTAACACCTCAGATTATGTCAAATACGGTCAAAGCTACAACCTATGCAAAAATGAAAGAAATCTGATTCCACGCGTTTTTAGATAACTTTTTATGAAAACTGTATTTTTTCCCAAAGAAATTATCAAATAGTTTGACAACCTTTTTTGTAAGCTTTTGAATTATATCAAACGCAACCGTTTATCTTTTCCAGTGATGAAGACATGGATGTCTCATATTAGGGTGGGGTATGCAAAATGAGTAAACTTTGAGCACCTCTATCTCCTAAATGTTTTGGCATTCAGGTCCAAAAACTTACTTTCTGACCACTAACATGGGAAAATATGTATAGAAAGTTTTGTTCAACAACCCCTTTGGAGCAATTGTCTTTTACTATAAAAATACAACTTTGTAATATATCACACTTGGTGCTCCTTCTGCGCCCCCTGCCGGTGGCAACATGCCTAAACAATTCCCAATGGAAATCCTTGGAGGACTCCCAAACATGTTCTATCCATAAAATCTGATACCATAAACTTATGGGCGTCACACAATCCTAAACTGACCTTGGAACATCAGTTTGCATTCAAAGACTTGGAAAAGAAGACATTTCCCAGCTAGCACATAATGTTCTGAGAATATATGTTTCTTAGCGCTTGGTGAGAGAGTGGTTGTCCTATGGTTATTTTGCATACAACCTTCCCACAATGTCTGGGAATGGTGCAGGATAGTTGCTTGGCTATGGAACATTATCAGCACATTTTAGTTAATACCGTACAAATGATCGAAATGGCAGGCTACTTTGACATTGACAAACTGAGAATCTGAGATCAATAAAAACGACCTTGAATCCATCGATAGCATAGACCTAGGTGTTTGGAGGCTACACTATGAGGAGGAAATTATAGTCCTAAACATGCCTTCCAGTTTCACTGACTCACCCAATGATGCGCAGCTCACTCACCCGTGATGGCCGATGTGTTCGTGCCAAAAACCTATATCTCGCTCTTGTTTTACTTTGTAAAACAATATTTGGAAGTTGATCTTCTCTTTTCAGCAGGAGCCATTTGGTTTCCAACCTGTTTTCCCGCGATTGTATTTGAAATATTGCGAAAGGCCTGTTTTGTCTGCAAGCAGTTCATTAACAGATTTGCCGCGCGTTCCCGACTGTAGGCTATGCGTTGTTATTGGGCTACACACAATCCACAGCTAGGCAATTACAAAATAAAAATAAGCTATTGATCCTCTGTGGCTAAATTATCATGGTGTAGTAGGCCATTCTGAATTAATTAACGAAGAGGCCACTCGAATGAACTTTAATCGCTTTTGTTATAATTGTTACGTTGCAAAAAGTGACAATTATTTTTCATGCCACGAGAGGTACAGGATCCGGCCAAATAGGTCCCGGAACGAAACATTTCAAAACGGAGAGGTGTACAGGATCCGGCTCAAATTAAGCACTGGGGATGGGTATAAAAAAATCCAAATATAAGGTAAACTCCCAGCAGAGCCCCATGTCCAATGGGTATATCCTCTGGCATGTTGATGTTAATGTGTTGATGTTCTCCGTATCCATAGCCAGAATGATTTTGCAGTGCATGGTGATCGAACAGGTTTCCTGTTATATTCATCAGAGGTGTAGGGAGGGTGAAGTCTGTGAACCCCAAAAAATAGTAATTATACAGATGATTAACAAAACATGCACACGACAGTATTCATACCTTGGCTTTTGTGGTAAATGTGGATGAATACAACTATTTTGATAATGGTTTTCATACACATACCTTGTCCATAATGTAGAGGCCTATGGGAGTTTCATTGAAGAGGTAAGGGAGGAGGATGGTACATGTGATCTGCATAACATACCAATACCAATTGACATATGCCTCCTCATCTGTAAACCTACAGACACAAAAGTGAGCAGTTCAGTCATCTGCACCCAATACAGTTAGCCTTCAACATATTCTTATAGCATACATATTCTTACCTCTTTGTTGATTGATATCCATTGAATTGTATCCATTTTCTGTTTTAGAAAGATTTACACAAATATGAAAAGATAGATGTTATCATCATAAAACAATATCAAGTTAGATCATACAAGGGACAAACCTTACCTTAAATTGTGGCGATCTTTACATTTTTCAGTGAAGTGCCTGCACCTGCTGTCCTTTCAAATTCAAATCCAAATGTTTCAGTTGGACAGTTAGGTTCCTGCAAGAACCCCCACCAACTAATGAGGTTCCTCGATTAACCCCACCTTCTATGGGGTTCTTGGAAGATCCTTTTGGAGGCAATTTTCAGTGCCAAGAACCCTAAGGTTCTTCAAAGAACTTTGAGGATCTTAGAAGAACCCTTGTTGATCCCCTAATTTTTTAGAGTGTAGAGATTTATTTTATTTTATAAATACAGGATTAGGTAACATAATAAAGTGGTGTAGGTAGGCCGTGACCGGCCTCACACTCCAGTACAGTAAGAGGCGGTGTGTGCCCCTTTCCAGTTGGTTGCGATCCGCCAAACAAATTTAAAGAAGAATAACGTAATTTCCTGTTTCTTAAACACAGACCCGTAGTTATATAGTGACAGTTGAACAGCAAAATAACAATACATTATCCTACCTATCCCTTTCCTCCCCAAAATGTCTAAACTTCAGCAGCTCAATGTGTTTCTCAACGAAAAATTAACAGCAGTTCCTTTGGAGATATCTGTGGTAGTTCAAAAAACGATCGCAGAGTACCAGGAAGAAATATCTCGTTTGGAACGGGCGAATTCACGTCTACGAAGACTGCTGGATTTGGTTTTCAAACCAGAGATAAAGTTGCATAGATTAGCAGGTTTGTGACTACGTCTCTCTATTTGACATTCATTTTACATTGTAGCCTAATTTTAGTCATTTAATATGAGGGGCTTTGAGTAGTACATCATTTAGTCACATAGTTATCTAGCTACTGACTAAATTAAAAGGTTCCTTGCAATCCGGCATCTTTAGGACGTCCAACTGACGTCACCCTATTGAAGTTGACGTTTAAAATGGTTAAAGGCCCAGTGCATTCAAAAACGTGATTTTCCTGTGTTTTCAGGGGTGAAAGTAGATTTAATTTATTCCCGGTACGGGAACTCCTGAGTGTTTTTCTCAGCTAATAGTCGGCAGAACATATTATCAGACCAATTCATAGGCCTATGCTACAAATTAAACACATCTGCTTAGTAGGCTATATAATCAGTTCAATGTCAATAACATATCCTAATATTTTCAATCTGATTACACTGATACAATCACCAATGTCTCTTAAATTCGTTTTTTTATATTTATTTTTGCGTTGATTGGGGAAAAACAGCTTGCAATCAAGTGAAAATGTCGCTCTGAAAAAGTCTCAAAAGAAAGGTGGATAATGAAAGTAGAAGTTTCAGGGAAGAATGGACAGTGAAATAGGCATTTTTAACATATTTCTCCACTGTCAAACCAGTGTATAGTTTGCAACGAAACGGTTGCTGTTTGCAAATAATTTAATATTAGACATCCTTATGAATCTAAGCATGGCACTTTCAAAAGTTACCTTTTCTGCCCAGACAGAGGTATTTAAGGAGTGCATGGTGACAGTATTGGAGGATTTGGCTGTAGCAAAATTGTGTCTGTCAAACAGGTAGGCCTACCTCTTATTTTTTTAATAGGAAGAAATAGGCTCCAACAAAGCCCTCTTGTTGTTAGTGAAGTCAAATTAAAATGAAGACAATTGTTGAAATGAATTAGTTTCAGCACCATTTGTTGTCCACCTGTTTTTCATTATGCCGCTTGCCTTTTTAGTTGACTTTCTCCTGCACTCTCTCCACGTTAATAAGTGAATGATTTAAAATGTGTCTGTCTCATGCCATTGTAATACATTTGGTCTCAAGGCTTTGGGCTACATAAAAACCACATAGGCTACTACTGTTTCTACCGTAAGCAACAGCATTTATGTTAAATGAGTTTGATGGAGCGTTGGAGCGTTGGAGTGCCGCAGCGCTGCGTCTCTCCAACAGCACCCTGGTGCGGCGTGCTGGGCATGGACAACAGCACCCTGGTGCGGCGTGCTGGGCATGGACAAGCTAAATATTTCCCTTTGGCAAAGTGGGCACTGCTTATCATGGGACGGTATCAGCGCTCACCTAAACAGCCCTCATGCCACTGGGTGAGAGGAGTTATCATTGTTCTTGGGCAGAATAATGTGAGGTGTTATGCAGTGGCTGTCAGTGCCATTTAAGATGAGGGAAGACGATTTATTATTACAGCATATTGGATGACTGTCATTCATATTCCATTCACCCAGTTCGTGATAGGTTTAGGCTACTACTACCGGATACTCTTAACACATTACACACACTCTTTGACACATTAAATACCGCCTTGCACACTCTTGCATGCATTCTAGCTGATATAGGGTGTAATCATTAGTCCAACAGTTGCAAACAAGAGTTTCTATTGGACAAATTCTGGTATGTTTATCGCCATTTTGTTCTGTTTGCTTCTGTTTAAGAAACGTTTTTCAACAGAATCGGCGGAATGAATACACCCCGATCACGTGTAAACACAGTTCACTTTCATAGCAGCCACGTTATATTCCTTCTCGCATCTATGCACTCTCCTCCTCTCACCTTTTCCCTTTGCTTGTGGATTTCAATGCTCAACACATCAGCTGTATGTGACCAGGCGAAAAAACCTTTCCAAGCCAAACCATATCATAACCGCTACACACAGCCTACATCGTTGTCCCCATATTAGCTAAAGTTGCATCATAGTCAACATACAGTGCATTCGGAAAGTATTCAGACCCCTTCCCTTTTTCCACATTTTGTTACATTACAGCCTTATTCTAAAATGTATTACATTACTTTTCTTCCTCCTCAATCTACACAAAATACCCCATAATGACAAAGTAAAAACTGGTTTTTAGACATTCCTGCTACTTTATTACAAATAAAAAACAGATACCTTATTTACATAATTATTCAGACCCTTTGCATGAAACTCGAAATTGAGCTCAGGTGCATCTTGTTTCCATTGATCATCCTTGAAATGTTTCTACAACTTGATTGGAGTCCACCTGTGGTAAATTCAATGGATTGGACATGATTTCGAAATGCACACATCTGTCTATATAAGGTCCCACAGTTGACAGTGCATGTCAGAGCAAAAACCAAGCCATGAGGTCGAAGGAATTGTCCGTAGAGCTCCGAGACAGGATTGTGTCGAGGCACAGATCTGGGGAAGGGTAACAAAACATTTCTGCAGCATTGAAGGTCCCCGAGAACACAGTGGCCTCCATCATTCTTAAATGTAAGAAGTTTGGAACCACCAAGACTCTTCCTAGAGCTGGCCACCTGGCCAAACTGAGCAATCAGGGGAGAAGGGCCTTGGTCAGGGAGGTGACCAAGAACCCAATGGTCACTCTGACAGAGCTCCATAGTTCCTCTGTAGAGATGGGAGAACCTTCCAGAAGGACAACCATCTCTGCAGCACTCCACCAATCAGGCCTTTATGGTAGAGTGGCCAGACGGAAGCCACTCCTCAGTAAAAGGCACGACAGCCGCTTAGAGTTTGCCAAAAGGCGCCTAAAGGACTCCCAGACCATGAGAAACAAGATTCTCTGGTCTGATGAAACCAAGATTGAACTCTTTGGCCTGAATGCCAAGCGTCACATCTGGAGGAAACCTACGGTGAAGCATGGTGGTGGCAGCATCATGCTGTGGGGATGTTTTTCAGCGGCAGTGACTGGGAGCCTAGGGAGACTAGTCAGGATCGAGGGAAAGATGAACGGAGCAAAGTACAGAGAGATCCCTGATGAAAACCTGCTCCAGGGGGCTCAGGACCTCAGACTGGGGCGCAGGTTCACCTTCCAACAGGACAACGACCCTAAGCACACAGCCAAGACAACAAATATGATTATATTTAGTATGGAATAATACTGTGAAATTGATGATAATGCCCTTTTAATATAAGCTGTTTGAAAAGACCCCCTGAAATTTCAGCCTGTTTTGGTGGGAGGGAGTTTTTGCCTTCCATGGTGACATCACCATGCGGTAATTTAGTTATTAGACCAAACAACAACGAGAGTTCCAAACCTCTCTGCCAATAACAGCTAATTTTATCAGTTTTCCCCTCCCCACTCAAACCACTCAGACAGTCCAAGCTAAATTTTGCTTGAGATATTGCTCTTTGATAAGAAGCTATTTTTGAACATTTTTAATTGAAAACAATCACAGTAAGGTACTTAATTGTCAATCAATTATTTGATATTGAGATAAAAACGGCTGCATTGGACCTTTTAAGGTAAGGTTAAAGGAATACTTCAGGATTTTGGCAATGAGGCCCTTCCCCAGAGTCAGATGAACTTGTAGATACCATTTTTATGTCTCTGTGTTCAGTAATATGAAGGAAGTTAGAGATAGCATTGGCGAAACTAACTGACTTCCCAAGGATTCCGTATAGCACTAACCAAAAGAAAGACGTGAGACTTTAGCTCTGCTGGCTAGCCAAGTATCATATCTGCTCAGTAATATTGCAATTACAATATATAATTTTGCCAGGAAAATGTGGCTATAGAAAATGTACTTGAAAAAAGAAGACGACAGAAAAATAAGTGTTAATTTGTCAATCATTTTCTACATTTTGTCTTAAATTGCCCTCAGTTTTTGAATAACTATTTTAGCTACTGGGTTTCCACAGTTTGACGGCATACTGTACACATACTGTGTACAAGATTTCTGTCTCAGGGTATACCATTGTACATGCGTTCAAGATAATTCACGCTGAAAAAACTACATGTTGTGGGGGGATTGCATCTAACAATTGGATTTAAATATTTATTTGGCATTGCTCGGCAATCCCCCCCCCTCCCCCCATCTATCGACCACGGATATAAAGTTCCATCAGAAGGTACTGTATTCACACCCATTGACTGTTTCCACATTTTGTTGGGTTACAAAGTGGGATTCAAATGGATTTAATTGTCATTGTGTCAACGATCTACACAAAATACTCATGTCAAAGTGGGAGAAAAATTCAAACATTTGTAAAAAAAATTGATGAAAAATAAAACACAAATATATCTTGATTAGATAAGTATTCAACCCCCTGAGTGTTAGAATCACCTTTGGCAGCGATTACAATTGTGAGTCTTTCTGGATAAGTCTCTTAAGAGCTTTGCACACCTGTATTGTACAATATTTGCACATTATTCTTTAAAAAAATATTCAAGCTCTGTCAAGTTGGTTGTTGATCATTGCTAGACAGCCATTTTCAAGTCTTGCCATAGATTTTCAAACCGATTTGTCAAAACTGTAACTAGGCCACTCAGGCACATTCAATGTCATCTTGGTAACTAACTCCAGTGTATATTTGGCCTTGTGTTTTAGGTTATTGTCCTGCTGAAAGGTGAATTTGTTTCCCAGTGTCTGTTGGAAAGCAGACTGAACCAGGTTTTCCTCTAGGATTTTGTGTTTAGCTCTTTTTCATTTATTTTTATCCCCCCCAAAATTCTATAGTTGTCTGTGATGTGATTAGAACTCACAACCTTTGAGTTGCTAGACGTTCACGTTTTACGCCCACCCATCCACCCCAACCAAACACCCTCTGTTCATTTTTGCCTTAAGTAACCATCTGTCTTATGTAACCATACCAAACGTAACATATCATATTAAATGGAGTGTCTCGGATTTACATACAGAATAATATGAAATGCTTTGAGACCAGGTTGGTCAATTAGGTTAGTATTGTGGAGTAACTACAATGTTGTTGATCCATCCTCAGTTTTCTTTTATCACAGAAATTAAACTCTGTAACTGTTTTAAAGTCACCATTGGCCTCGTGAAATCCCTGAGCGGTTTCCTTCCTCTCCGGCAGCTGAGTTGGGAAGGACGCCTGCATCTTTGTATCTTTTCCAGTGATGACGACATGGATGTCTCATGGTAGGGTGGGGTATACAAAATGGGTCAACTTTGAACACCTCTATCTCCTGAATGTTTTGGCATTCAGGTCCAAAAAGTCACTTTCTGACCACTTCTTCCATGGCTAAACATGTATGAAAAGTTTTGTTTAAATCAAAAAGGGGCGCTGTCAAAAAGTGATTGAATTCACATGGATTTACCCAGTCATTAGTTTCAGACTGTATATCAAGAATTTGTATGAAAGTCAAGGCAAGGTAGGTAAGTGATATGAAGTCTATAATACCTGGGCTATTTACTGGGGCGCATCATGCGTGTTCAGTCCAATAATGAGTCAAAAATGTACAAACAAAAGCCATTCACGAGCTCGGCCAACTGTTGGATTGCCACCATACTTAGTTAGCCTTAGCCTATAGCTGCTTTTCAAATACATTTTTAATGTAACTTCACTTACATCTGACACAAGACAAGAAATAGGTTGAGCCCTATTTCTTGTCTGTTTTCAGCGTTTACGTTTTCATCCAATTTAATCCTTTCTCCTTTCCTCCAGACCTCCAGCAGCTCACTGTCTCTGAAGAGGATGTTAACTCAGAGCAGCAGCACTGTGAGCAGGAGTGGAGCCCCGGTCTGGGGCCGGTGGAGTCTGATGCCGAGGAGTCTATGTGGAACTCTTTCAACATCGTAACGGTAGAGAACCAAACAGAATTGGATGGCGAGAGCTACAGAGAATCTGATGGCGAGAGCAACAGAGAATCAGAATCAACCAGTGACTATCAACCCCCCTCTGAAGTAAATCCAGAAAGTGACAATGGTGAAAGTAATAGCGGAAAAGTGGATGGAGTGGAGAGTAGAATATCACTGTCAGGGTTAAAGCCTCTTAAACCAAAGCGAGGAAGAGGACGGCCAATGAAAGAAACCAGTGAGTTGTCAGATCTGAAGTGTGATATGTGCGTGAAATGCTTTGCGACAGCAAGTGGTCTGAAAAGGCATCAGCAACTCCGGCACAGCGAAGAGAGACCATACATGTGCGATACATGTGGGCAATGTTTCGCCTTGAACCGCTACCTGATCAGGCACATGAAGATTCACACAGTGGAGAGACAACATTGCTGCACAGAATGTGGCAAACATTTCTTTCACAAGGAAAGCCTGAAAAATCATATGGTTAATCTTCATATGGGGCTGGTTTTTAAATGTGATTTGTGTGGGAAATGCTTGTCGACAAAAGGTCGTCTGAAACTGCATAGGCAAAATCACACTGGGGAGAAATCACATCCGTGCAAAGAATGTGACAAGGCATTCTACTGCGAGTCAGACCTGATAAACATACGAGGACTCACACTGGGGAGAAACCATTTCAGTGCAAAGAATGTGGCAAATGCTTCGGCGAGAAGGGAAGCCTGACAAAGCATATGATGACTCACACACAGGAGAAACCACATCGCTGCAACGAATGTGGCAGATGCTTCAATCTAAAGGGAAACCTGACAGTGCATATGAGGACTCATACGGGGGAAGGAGTTCAATGTCATTTGTGTGGAACTTACTTGAAGTTAGCAGCAAGTCTGAAGAGGCATCTGCGAACTCACAGAATAAATATTCACAATGACTGAGAACACATAACAATGGACGTTGTGTAAAATGTGTTGGAAGGTAGAAACAATATCAAGGTCACTGCTCTGGGTTAAAGGTACAGTCTGCAATCTGGGAACCTGTTAAATGGTCATTTTTAAGGGACGTTATCAAATTCAAAATCAAATGTATTTATAAAGCCCTTTTTACAAACGTTACACTCTCAAGTCCAAGTTTGTCAGACATTTTCTGAACTAAAGAAGTCTGTGAAGATAAACCACATCCCACAACATCTGTTGTGTAGATTTATGCCTTCACCCCAATTTAATGGAAAAGATAAGAACCAAATCAAAGCAGGAAATTAGACGGTGCTCATATTTTCCATTCATTTGGGATTCAAATCCAATTTTGTTTGTCACATGCTTCATAAACAACAGGTGTAGACTAACAGTGAAATGCTTACTTACTGGCCCTTCCCAACAACACAGAGAGAAACATAGAGAGATAATAGAAACACAATAACACAAGGAATAAATACACAATGAGTAACGATAACTTGGCTATATACACGTTGTACCAGTACCGAGTCGATGTGCAGGGGTATACATATAGTTGGATTTACACAACAGATTGCCTGAGATGTTGACATAGCTCAACATCATTCTTCTTTTAAAGTCTGAAAACGTATGACTAACTTTAATTTATCAGTGAAATCTCCCTTTAATTTCTAAGAAATTGAATTTGTTATGATTGACTGACACAGGACAGCTACTGTCATATGTCTGTTAACAAAGCTCTAATGGTGTGTGATGTGCTAAACATGTTGTTATTTAAGGATTATCAGGTTGGAAACGCGTTTAAATTTGTTGTACATGGTTACTTTTTGGGAATAAAATGGACAGAGCCCAGACAAAGGATATTGTTAGTACCAGGGAGAGATCTAGGCCTAGATAATCAATAATTATAGTTTATTTAGCATTTTTCAATAGAAAACATTTTCAAGGCTCTATTTTAACAAACTAAACGCAATTGTGAATCTTGAGCTGCCATTGTTTATAAAAGTTTTTCTTTATAATTTCGAAATAAACAATTCATTGGTTGAAGAGATGTCTAACCAATTCTCACCGACTGCATGAAAACGGATCTGCTCAAACATGCCCACGCCTTCTAATGCCTCAACTGCAAAGGACAAACATAGGTACAAGGTAAGAGTGTAACATTGGACATTTTTTAAGTATTGCGTGATAGTAGACTTCTTAAATTGCCTGCTCATTGAGATTTTTCTGGTACATGTACAACTAAGAGAGATGCAAAGAATTCTGATTTGTAAATTGTCTTTTAGTCATAAGCTTTAAGGCTTTAAGTATAGGATGATCTGGTACAATCAATTATTCATCAGGAGTAGATTACTCCATACAAAATTAAAGCAATTTCATGAATGACCAGCTTTAGGAAAAAATGTATGAGTAATGATCTTAAGTAATAGAAAAATATATTTTCTGGAAAGTATACATTTGATTCAATGTGTCAATAACATCAGTCTGGCCATTAACTCATTAACCCGAGATTCATTTCAAAACGCATTACCAGAAATTATTGTTTCTAATAAAGTAAGTAAAGCTTATTTCTCTACATTTGTTTAAATCCCTGTTAGTTAACATTTCTCCTTTGCCAAGATAATCCATACACCTGACAGGTGTGGCATATCAAGAAGCTGATTAAACAGCATGATCATTACACAGGTGCACCTTGTGCTGGGGACAATAAAAGGCTAATCTAAAATGTGCAGTTTTGTCACACAACACAGTGCCACAGATGTCTCAAGTTTTGAGAGAGCGTGCAATTGGCATGCTGACTGCGGGAATGTCCAACAGAGCTGTGGCCAGAGAATTTAATGTTAATTTCTCTACCATAGAAAAGTACGTCCAACCGTCCTCACAACCGCAGACCACGTGTAACCACGCCAGCCCAGGACCTCCACATCCGGCTTCTTCACCTGCGCCATCGTCTGAGACCAGCCACCCGGACAGCTGATGAAACTGTGGGTTTGCACAACTGAAGAATTTCTGCACAAACTGTCAGAAACCGTTTTAGGGAAGCTCATCTGCGTGCTCATTATCCTCACCAGGGTCTTGACCTGACTGCAGTTCGGCGTCGTAACCGACTTTAATGGGCAAATGCTCACCTTCGATGACCACTGGCACGCTGGAGAAGTGTGCTCTTCACGGATGAATCCCAGTTTCAACTGTACCAGGCAGATGGCAGACAGCATCTTGCTGTCTGCCGTCGTGTGGGCAAACGGTTTGCTGATGTCAACGTTGTGAACAAGTGTCCCATGTTGGCGGTGGGATTATGGTATGGGCAGGCATAAACTACGGACAACAAAAACAATAGCATTTTATCGATGGCAATTTGAATGCACAGAGATACCATGACGAGATCCTGAGGCCCATTGTCGTGCCATTCATCCGCCACCATCACCTCATGTTTCAGATGATAATGTACGGCCCCACGTCGCAAGCTGAAAATGTCCCAGTTCTTCCATGGCCTGCATACTCACCAGACATGTCACCCATTTAGCATGTTTGGGATGCTCTGGATCGATGTGTACGACAGCATGTTCCAGTTCCCGCCAATATCCAGGAACTTCATACAGCCATTGAAGAGGCCATAATCAACAGGTTCTCTAAGTGAAGGAGATGTGTCGCTCTGCATGAGGCAAATGGTGGTTCACACCAGATACTGACTGGTTACTGATCCACGCCCCTACCTTTTCTAAAGGTATCTGTGACCAATAGATGCAGTGGTGATTTTAGCATGTAAATCTTGGTGGGGAAAACGTAACATTTTTTATTTTTTTTGCATGCCTGCAAAGCCACTACACAACAACACTAAACAATACATTAATTGCCCTATAACGGTGACAAATGGTGCCCACAAACTGTTAGAGCCTACATAAAGCTGTCCCAACAGCAGAGCTTTCTTTTCAGCACCATGGAGTGAATCCTTACCACCGCTACACCTGCCGATCAGCGGAGCCTCATCTGACAGCGAAACAGTTCCTTCAGCCTCATTTTCTGCGTTTAAAAAAACCATAGCTGATTATGGCTGACTTGCTTAAACAAATGTGGTTTCTACTGACTCCTTGTGGATTTGTGCGAGTCGATAAGAACCGCATTCTCCTTCAATAATAACGAAGGTAAAAATGACTTTTGACTTTTGAACCATACAGAAACATTATCACATTTATGTTCAGTAAATTCATAATGTTTATTCTTATGTCATTAACACTTAGCTCTAAGTATAAGCAAGTGCAAGCAAGCGAGCTGCGACGAGGTAGGCCTATTCATTCAGCACTTTCTAAATGGACACCGACAGAAATTCAGATGTTAGTTCAGATTAATTCAGCAAGATGTTGAGCCCTTAACTTTACTCTTCTTTAAGTAACCACACAAAGAGAGAGAGACTCGGTTAGCCTACCATTTGAAGCATTTTATTAGGCCTATGTGGTCTAAAAAGGAAGGAAAATACAATAATGAGGATCCACTTTTATATATAATATAACGATGCACAGACAGCGCATTGCGCAAACAAAACAACCCTCGCAATATCAACTGGAATTACATGGGTCTATTCCTGAACTTTTTGTTGAAAACAAATATTTGAATGGGAAGAGACTGTCACTGGCAAACATGGTTTCAGACCCAACAACATTATATTGTATCCCCTCCTCGTTAAGAAAAGCACATGAGCTTATTATAATACACAAAGTAAGTAAAATAATGAAATAATTCCAACATTGCCTAAAATGATGAATAAGATACTAATGAGAGACCTATTGCATAAGGGAACAATGAGCTAATAAGCAGCAATCCGTAATTTCGATTAAGACATTAATGAGCGAGTTAAGAAGGACGTAGTCAATATCAGCTCTTCTGAAATGTACAGCGACATAATTCAGAAAATTGGGCCGTTCTTACAGTATTCTCCCTGTACACCAAGTCAGAACCATAGGATAAATAAAGGGGGAATATAAGAAGACAAAGAAAGCTCTTACAATATTTGATGATGACGTTTCTCTAAAACAGGTTATAGGCTACATGTGCACCACCAAGTCAGAACAGTAGGTTCTGAGGGGGAAAGGGACTGAATGATTAGGGTGAGGCACATGGGCTACTAACAGCTTCCTACACAACATACACTTAGTATTACTTTCTTAGCTACAGTATACATATCTCCCTGGCATATTACATAATTTATGCAGCAGCATACAATACATTTTTGGACTCACCGTTGTTGTGCTGTGCTCACTTGAACAGGAAGGTGGCGCGGCAGTCCTTCTTGTGGGCAAATTTTGTCTTTAAACTTTGTAATCAAAGTCTGGCATTCTCTGGATTTATGGTGCTTTCAAGACAACTGGGAACTCAGGGAAAAAACAAGGTTGAATCATGACGTCAGTGATCTTCAGGTCGGAGCTCTAGAAAGAGGCCCTAGTTCCCAACTTGGAATTCCGAGTTGGATGAACGTTCAAAACATATTTTCCCAGTCGGAGCTCGTTTTCTTCCGAGTTCCCAGTTGTCTTGAACTCACTGAAGTCTGAGATTTCCCAGTTCCGGGTTTCCAGTTGTTTTGAAAGCGGAAGAAGTCATTGTGGATTGACAGCATGGCCAATGTATTCAACATTTTCTGGCCCATGGTGTTGCGTGTGAATGTTTGTCCCTTTAAGCTTGGAAAAGAGACCCTTTCAGACAGATGTTTTAAATCCTTAAACCCAGACTTGGACCACACACCCTCTCCATCGAATAGCAGGCAGGGGAAGCAAAATAGTGATTGCTTTGCAAAGCTTGCAGTTAGCCACTGTGTCACGCCCTGATTTATGGGACTCTAGTATGTTGAGTCAGGGTGTGGAGTTCTATGTTGTTATTTCTATGTTCTCATTCTAGGTGTTGTATTTCTATGTTTGGCCGGGTGTGATTCCCAATCAGAGACAGCTGTCGCTCGTTGTCTCTGATTGGGGATCATACTTAGGCAGCCTGTTTGCAATCATTAGTTGTGGGATCTTGTTCTGTGTAGAGGCTTGTATTGTGTTTAGCCTGAGGACTTCACGTCACGTTGTTTTGTTCGTGTGTTTATCGTCGAAATAAACATGTATGCATTTCACGCTGCGCCTTGGTCTGACCCGTCCTTCAACGAACGTGACACACTGATTCCTTCTATAATTTCTCTTCACATGACAAGGATTGAAAAAGATTTGCCAGTAGATTGTCGATGTGATTCATGATGATGACTGCTTGTCTAGTTTGCTAGCTAAGGTTTTTGAAAGTATGATGTTGACATTATCAGTCCAATCAAAGCTACAGTAGATATGTGATTTGACGTGATTTTTTCTGTGGCCAATTACCTTGAGCCTTCTTGGATGGGCACTTCAAATGTAAATCTATGGCAGCACCCAAGGGGGCTTGAACTGACTAGCTCTCCCTGTAGATTCTGCGGTAATGTAGTGTCCCCATGAGTGACAGAACACTGAGCCAATAACAGCGCAACTAGAGAAGATTATCAAGGCCTACGCTCTGTATTTTCCGCTGGCTGCTCCTCCACAACAGAAAGCCCTGAGCTAGGCTGAAACGCCTGCATTTTTGGAGCTACCTTAAACAAGAAAGCAAGAAAGAGACCATGTTTGTATGCGGCTTTATTCACTCAATAAATCTGTTTTTACCTTGTTTGCAAACTGATATGTGACACGAATTAATGCCAAAATAACATGCAAAACAGGTACAAAAAAAACAACTTAATTAAAAATATAATCAAAATTAGTTTTTGCTAAACAGTTGGGGCTCAAAACCGAATGACGGGTCGCCACTGAACAGATGCATATCTGTATTCCCATTCGTGAAATCCATAGATTAGGGCCTAATGAATTTACTGTAACTCAGTCAAATCTTTGAAATTGTTGCATGTTGCATTTATATTTTTGTTCAATGTAGTATGATACAGTGAGGGAAAAAAGTATTTGATCCCCTGCTGATTTTGTATGTTTGCCCACTGACAAATAAATTATCAGTCAATAATTTTAATGGTAGGTTTATTTGAACAGTGAGAGACAGAATAACAACAAAAAAATCCAGAAGAACGCATGTCAAAAATGTTATTAATTTATTTGCATTTTAATGAGGGAAATAAGTATTTGACCCCTCTGCAAAACATGACTTAGTACTTGGTGGCAAAACCCTTGTTGGCAATCACAGAGGTCAGACGTTTCTTGTAGTTGGCCACCAGGTTTGCACACATCTCAGGAGGGATTTTGTCCCACTCCTCTTTGCAGATCTTCTCCAAGTCATTAAGGTTTCGAGGCTGACGTTTGGCAACTCGAACCATCAGCTCCCTCCACAGATTTTCTATGGGATTAAGGTCTGGAGACTGGCTAGGCCACTCCAGGACCTTAATGCGCTTCTTCTTGAGCCACTCCTTTGTTGCCTTGGCCGTGTGTTTTGGGTTATTGTCATGCTGGAATAACCAAACACGACCCATTTTCAATGCCCTGGCTGAGGGAAGGAGGTTCTCACACAAGATTTGACGGTACATGGCCCCGTCTATCGTCCCTTTGATGCGGTGAAGTTGTCCTGTCCCCTTAGCAGAAAAACACCCCCAAAGCATAATGTTTCCACCTCCATGTTTGACGGTGGGGATGGTGTTCTTGGGGTCATAGGCAGCATTCCTCCTCCTCCAAACACGGCGAGTTGAGTTGATGCCAAAGAGCTCCATTTTGGTCTCATCTGACCACAACACTTTCACCCAGTTCTCCTCTGAATCATTCAGATGTTCATTGGCAAACTTCAGACGGGCATGTATATGTGCTTTCTTGAGCAGGGGGACCTTGTGGGCGCTGCAGGATTTCAGTCCTTCATGGCGTAGTGTGTTACCAATTGTTTTCTTGGTGACTATGGTCCCAGCTGCCTTGAGATCATTGACAAGATCCTCCCGTGTAGTTCTGGGCTGATTCCTCACCGTTCTCATGATCATTGCAACTCCATGAGGTGAGATCTTGCATGGAGCCCCAGGCAGAGGGAGATTTACAGTTATTTTGTGTTTCTTCCATTTGCGAATAATCGCACCAACTGTTGTCACCTTCTCACCAAGCTGCTTGGCGATGGTCTTGTAGCCCATTCCAGCCTTTTGTAGGTCTACAATCTTGTCCCTGACATCCTTGGAGAGCTCTTTGGTCTTGGCCATGGTGGAGAGTTTGGAATCGGATTGATTGATTGCTTCTGTGGACAGGTGTCTTTTATACAGGTAACAAACTGAGATTAGGAGCACTCCCTTTAAGAGTGTGCTCCTAATCTCAGCTTGTTACCTGTATAAAAGACACCTGGGAGCCAGAAATCTTTCTGATTGAGAGGGGGTCAAATACTTATTTCCCTCATTAAAATGCAAATCAATTTATAACATTTTTGACATGCGTTTTTCTGGATTTTTGTTGTTGTTATTCTGTCTCTCACTGTTCAAATAAACCTATCATTAAAATTATAGACTGATCATTTTTTTGTCAGTGGGCAAACGTACAAAATCAGCAGGGGATCAAATACTTTTTTCCCTCACTGTATGTTACTTTTGGTTACATAAGACAGAAGGTTACTTAAGGCAAAAACTAAAGGAGGGTGGATGGGTGGGTGTATAACGTGAATGTCTAGCGTTATAATAACTTTAGCATTTTAGCTAATTAGCAACTTTGCAACTACTTACTACTTTTTTGATACTTTACAACTACTTAGCATGTTGGTTAACCCTTCCCCTAACCCTTTTCACTAACCCTTCCCTTAAACCTAACCTTAACCCTTTAATCTAACTCCTAACCTAACCCTAACCCCTAGCCTAGCTAATGTTAGCCAGCTAGCTGGCGCTAGCCACCTAGCTAATGGAATTCATAACAAATTGTACATTTAGCAAATTTGTAACATATTGTACGAATTGCAATTCATAACATATATGAATTGTAATTCGTAACATATCATACGACATGGATGATGGACATCCACAAATAATACATACCATACGAAATGTAACATATCATACTAAATGGAATGTCTCGGATATACGTACAGAATAATACTAAATGCTGAGACCAGGTTGGTGACCTTGTTATATAATCTGTACTGTTCGCTCATTAGGCCTACATCATCAATAAAGTCACACTTTATTTACATAGGACCTTAACGAAAATTCATGACACTTCCATATCTGAAACCCACAGCATGAAATGATACAGTGAATGATATGTCCACATCTGCCTTTTTTTATTCCCATTTTCTGACAGAAGATTTCTTTGCTCTAATTTTCTTTCTTCGTTCCATACACCTGTTTTCTTATTTTGTGGAGTTTACATTATATGCTTCAGTAGGCCAACATTCTGAGAGAATATTTTACAGCAGACGCCACAACTAAATGACGTATTCCCTCTGTGAATATGTCGAATCGAAAACCTTCATAAAAGGCATTGGGTAAAGGTAAATTAATCCACGAATATAATTTTAAATATATCTTAAGTGACATTTTCATGAATTCATTTTCATGAACTTGATATTAGCGTGAAGCCCATTCAAAAGCAGTATGGAACTTTCATAGGGTATTTAGATTTTACAGAGATTATTGATGTTATAGTTATCCAATCGGAGATTACTGTGACAGTGGTGGCAAATCATCGACAAGTATTCTACTCACATTGGGCGAATGAGAAAACGGATCGAGTGCAATGTTACCAATCACCGCAAAGGGGGAGGGACTTCGAGTCAGGGGCGCGAAGAGTTTGAGGAAAGAAGGAGCAGTAAAATGGCGAATCTTTAAAACTATAATGGTAGATACGTTTTAATATTATAAAAAACAACAAACGTGTGACAATTTGGGGATCTAAATAATTAGCTATTCTACAAGTCGCAACTCGATTGGCGTTGGCGTCTGGTCATTCCCAAACCGATTTATGGTAAAACAAATATTTAAAAAACTGCGTAAACAAAGATTGTTTCGCTAGCTTGAGCCAAGTAACGTAGCTCGCTAGCAAGCTAGCTAACGTTAGCAAATGTTGTATCTGAAGTTAGCATTAGCCAGTTCATGTTCAACCAGCTGAGAAATTAGCGAACTTCGTGGCAACTATCTACTTGGTGTACATGGAGCAAGTGTCCGGTTCCAGCTATGGCTTTGCATAACTTAGTTTTTGTCATTGATGTGGATTATCGGCCATCAGGACACGTCAATGTCAAAAACCATCCACTGAAGCAGGGCATTCTCCGAATTCTGCTTCATTTCGGATATAAGTATGGGTTCGAGAAGGTGCGATGGGGTTACAAATTCTGTCAATCGAGAACTGGACGCAACGCTAACCTGATATCCAGGGGGTCTGATTTTAAAGAACTACGAGACAAAACATTTGAAGACTTCGAGGTGGAGTTTCAATTAAAGTTCGATGCAAGAGAGAAGACAATCTCGGCTCAGCCAAGGAATCAACCCACCAGCCCTGCTGCTTCCATACAGAACGCATTGAAAGAAGCTCTGTTGGACTTCCAATGGGACAGACCAGATATCACCTCTCCCACCAAATTGGCATTGAGACCCAGGAGAGGTCGAGCTGGTAAAGGAGGCCCTCCTCCACCAGAGGATGAATTGTCAAGCTCGGGGAGAAATGTGTTATTCCTCTTGTCAAGCTGTCCTCACTCCAGGGCAGATTTAGGAGAATATGTGTCCCTCACTGGAATCCCTGCCGGTGCCAGTCACACAGATGTTTCCGAACGTATCCTACCCAAGGGAATCCATGAAATGTTGGTCCAACGTCAAGTTGTCCTTCACTGGGTGGACAGCACTTCATATGTCCAGGTAAATAGTAACAGTTACTTTCAAATAACTGGACACTCCACAAATGTTCATTGTGAATCTGTTAAAAGACTTGCTGACCTGTCTTATTTCTCATTCCAGGTTATGAGAAGTGAGGAGCACTGGGGCTCAGAGAGGCTTTCTGAGGTGTTGAGGGAGCTGGGTGGTAGAGTGGTCCCCATGGACGCCCTGCTAAACCTGTGCTGTCCTCACAAGCCCCCCAGTGTTCAGTCCCCGCTGGACTCTGGAATCGGCTCCCCTCCAGATGCCATTTTGGGGAGGGAGGCCTTTCCACTCGACTCCAGCATGGGATACCTGTTGTCCTCAGAACGACTGTACCGCCTAGCTTTTCCTGTCCTGGAGGGAGTCCTGAGATGGGGGCAAGGTTTGTGATGCATGGAAGGGATCTGTCATTTGGAAAATCTCCCTCTGTCACTGGATCAATCTCATGACATAACAAAGCTGTTATGCCTTGGTTACACACTACACATTTTCACCAAGTCACAATAAAAGGCCACACTTGTAAAGCTTGTAGTAGTGAAAAGTATTCATCATTGATATGAGTACAACCATCTGGTTTCACATCGACATGCTGTATTTCCCCTGTGTGCTGTCTGTCATGTACTCAGGTGATGCTCCACAGAGCTGCGGTGTGATGTTGGAGCCGGTGGCCCTCAGACAGAGGCTCCCCCCAGCCCCCGTGGAGGTGTGTCTGAAAGGGGTCCTTCAGGGCTGGGACGCTCACTCCCTCACAGAGGCATCCTCCTCGGAGTCCTGGGTGCTGCAGTGTCCCAACAACAACCACACAGACCAGGGTGAAGCTGCCTTCCAACAGCTACTGAGGGAACTCTCTGCCCAGGCTCTTCACATGGTAAAGCTGCACTGTAGCGCCGGTGTTGCAAGATTCTGTTGACACTTTCCAAATGGGAATGAAACCAACCAATATGGCAACAATGTGTAGGACATGGACGTACTGTTATAGCTCGCTACTGTTGTCTTCCTGGTTTAGTTGTGTCAGTATGCTGTAAAATAGCTATTGTGTTCAATTCGAAACGAGAGGGTTTCATCTAAACCCACCAGCCCTGCTGAAACAACATCTGACTGATGTCCACTATGCTGTGTACCACAATGACCATGATGCTGCTTCCAATAAGACAACATATTCTCCCAACTGATCAGGCTAATAAGTATCAAAATACGAAATTATTATTTTACTGTAAAGTAAAAATTGGCCTAATAACTAGTTTGGTGTCTCCACAGTTTGCAGAGGTGAGTGACGGAGGAGACTTGCCGTGCTCGGCCTTCCTGTCTCCCCTCTCAGCCCTCACGGCTTTGCTCACCATCCTCCGGCCCAGTGTCGCCTCCGGCGACCACACCCTGACCTTGGATGTCATCGCCCCAGCAGCGGCAGACACCTCCTCAGACCTGCCCGAGGTGGTCAGCAGCGTCCTGGGAATGTTCTATGACATCATGGAGGGAGATGGAGGTTATGATTGGCTCTGTTTCATTCCTGTTTTTATTTCCTCTGCACTTTAGTACTCCGCCTTGACATATCTGAGATTACTAGCAACTAGTAGTTACAGTAGGTCTGAGATGACTAGCAACTAGTAGTTACAGTAGGTCTGAGATGACTAGTAACTAGTAGTTACAGTAGGTCTGAGATGACTAGCAACTAGTAGTTACAGTAGGTCTGAGATGACTAGTAACTAGTAGTTACAGTAGGTCTGAGATGACTAGCAACTAGTAGTTACTAGTAGTCTGAGCGATAGCTCCACCTTGCTTCTGTGGCATTGGTCTCACCTATGGGTTCGAGAAGGTGCGATGGGGTTACAAATTCTGTCAATCGAGAACTGGACGCAACGCTAACCTGATATCCAGGGGGTCTGATTTTAAAGAACTACGAGTCTGAGATGACTAGCAACTAGTAGTTACAGTAGGTCTGAGATGACTAGCAACTAGTAGTTACTGTAGGTCTGAGATGACTAACAACTAGTAGTTACTAGTAGTCTGAGCGATAGCTCCACCTTGCGTCTGTGGCATTGGTCTCACCTATTCATCCAGGTCTTAATTGTCTGACTTTCTTACCTTTATACCAAATCAATTACAGATCTCCAGAAAATGATTCACCCTTTTAGTTTATTGGTGCAGTGTTATTGTAACAGACTGAGTACTGTCCTTCATCCACAGCTCCTCGAACTGAGCCCCAGGTTCCTGACTGGGCACAGCAGGAGCTCAGCCATTGGTCCAGCCCACTGACCACTGGGCTGGTGGAGGGCTGGTTCCCGCACGCTGACCAATCAGGAGTCAGCTCCCACTTAATGGAGTCAATGAGGTATGATTTGCCCTTTTAACGTTATGTCTGTAATTATGGGTAATTGAAACAAGACTCGATCACAATTTATTGATGTTAAAGACAAGGTCATTATAACACAGTAGCCTAGTTGTAAATACATACAGGGCCCTTTAACAATTTCCCGGAGGTTAGTGTCTTTCTTACACACATATAAAAGATGCAGCTAAACTGCTTTATCATGACCTTTTAAACTATTACTCACTATATGTCAATGTCCTGTGTGTGTGTGTGTGTGTGTCCAGGCTGCTCCATGCGGTGCCAGAGGGCGAAACCGAGGGTCAGGAAGAGGAGCTGTCAGACCCCCAGCAGGACTTTGTCAGCAGCCTGTCAGAACTCTACCAGAGAATGACCTCCCAGTCCCACAGCGACAAGACGGGGAAGAAACGTAAGGAGCTGGGGCTGCATAGCTCTCAAGTTTTTTCCCCAAAGCTCTCAAGACCCCCCCTCCCCCCTCCCCCCCTCCCTGCTCAAGTCAGTGACCTCTGTTTGTATTTTATAAATGTATCAATATATTTTGTACTAATCAGCGAGCATCTCATAGCTTTCGATTCTCCTGTGATATGCCATCAGTGTAGCAGCTCAAAACCTACAATGGAGAGATGCTTGTTACCATGTTGTTCTTCCCCTGCTGAGTGTCTGTCCACATCTCTCCTCCTGCCTGCAGGTGGCGCCCAGCGCACGCCGGTGAGGCAGAAGATGAAGACGATGAGCCGCTCACTGCAGATGCTGAACGTGGCCCGTCTGAATGTCAAGGCCCAGAAAAGCCAGGCTGTGGAGACAGAGGGGGGGGCGCCGGGGGCCGAGGGCTGCAGGGGACAGGAGAGGCTGGGGAAGAGACGCTCAGGAGACAGGGCCAAGACTGGACACAACGCCCAACGTAAGTGTCTGTCTGTCTGACCCAACGTAAGTGTCTGTCTGTCTGACCCAACGTAAGTGTCTGTCTGTCTGACCCAACGTAAGTGTCTGTCTGTCTGACCCAACGTAAGTGTCTGTCTGTCTGACCCAACGTAAGTGTCTGTCTGTCTGACCCAACGTAAGTGTCTGTCTGGCCCAACGTAAGTGTCTGTCTGGCCCAACGTAAGTGTCTGTCTGGCCCAACGTAAGTGTCTGTCTGGCCCAACGTAAGTGTCTGCCTGTCTGTTTGACCCCCACCACAACAACAACACAACAGGGATATATCTTCTGCTCCCAAAGGCCTCACCCATAGTCTCAGCATGGTTCAGATTCAGCTTTTAATGCTCAACTGATTGATGATAGAGGTCTATTCTCATAATTGGTAGACAATGGAATGAAGATGGCCGCATTCAAGAGTGATTACAGAGCATTTAGATAAAATGGTATATTTTATAGAGCGGAGTTGGCTCTTTTGTGTTTTATGTAGTGTAGGGAATCATGTCAGCTCTGTACTTTCTGTTTATCTTCAATGAATGTTCTGAACATCCCACCACTTAATAACTGTCACAAACTTCCCTGCCTTCTCTCCTGTCAGACTTCAAGAGCGAGGCCGAGCTGCTGTCCCACCTGAAGGCCGGCTATGAGAAGACTGTGGCTGAGAGAGACTCCTCCCTCCTCACTGAGGCCCAACACCTCCTCTCTGCTGTCAAGATGTTCCTGAGGCCCAACCCAGACCTGGGGGTAAGACAGACCTGGGGGTAAGACAGACCTGGGGGTAAGACAGACAGAGAAGAAAATACCTAGTGGACAGGTTCTGTTTGAAAATCCTTAAGGTCTCTCTCTTCTCCCCTTAAAGTAATACCTGACTTGACATGATGAGATAAAAAGCTAATGTGAAGTAATACCTGACTTGACATGAGGAGATAAAAAGCTAATGTGAAGTAATACCTGACTTAACATGAGGATATAAAAAGTCTAATGTGAATATAAACTGACTTGACATGAAGGAGATAAAAAAGCGTAATGTGAAGTAATACCTGACTTGACATTGAAGGAATAAAAAGGCTAATGTGAAGTAATACCTGACTTGGGACATGAGGAGATAAAAAGCCTTAATTGTGAAGTAAGTAACCTGACGTGACATGAGGAAGATAAAAAGCTAATGTGAAAGTAATACCTGACTTGGACATGATGAGATAAAAAGCTAATGTGAAGTAATACCTGACTTGACATGAGGAGATAAAAAGCTAATGTGAAGTAATACCTGACTTGACATGAGGATATAAAAAGCTAATGTGAAGTAATACCTGACTTGACATGATGAGATAAAAAGCTAATGTGAAGTAATACCTGACTTGACATGAGATAAAAAGCGAATGTGAAGTAATACCTGACTTGACATGATGAGATAAAAAGCTAATGTGAAGTAATACCTGACTTGACATGAGATAAAAGCTAATGTGAAGTAATACCTGACTTGACATGATGAGATAAAGCTAATGTGAAGTAATACCTGACTTGACATGATGGATAAAAGCTAATGTGAGTAATACCTGACTTGACATGAGATAAAAAGCGAATGTGAAGTAATACCTGACTTGACATGATGAGATAAAAAGCTAATGTGAAGTAATACCTGACTTGACATGAGATAAAAAGCGAATGTGAAGTAATACCTGACTTGACATGATGAGATAAAAAGCTAATGTGAAGTAATACCTGACTTGACATGAGATAAAAAGCTAATGTGAAGTGATAACTTGACATGAGAGTATAAAAAGCTAATGTAGAACTTGGGCTATGAGTTTGGGAGATTTATATAGGGATATCTATGTGATATACGAGACATGAGGAGAGATGTGAATGCAGGTAGGTTTGGGCGATTTTTAGATATCATATACTGGGGAGACAGTTTTGATACAGGTTTGAGGTTTTCTACTTACAAAACATGTAGAGGTCTGTAATTTTAATCATAGGTACCCTTCAAAAAAACTGTAGAGACTGAATCTAAAAAAAATCCCGACAAAATCAACGATTTGTTATGACTTAAGTAAAATTATGTGCATTCTATTGCAAGACATAAGTATTTGAATCACCTACCACCAGTAAGAATTTCCGGCTCTCACAGACCTGTTCGTTTTTCTTTTAAGAGCCCTCCTGTTCTCCACTCATTACCTATATTAACTGCACCTGTTTGAACTCGTTACCTGTATAAAAGACACCTGTCCACACACTCAATCAAACAGACTCCAACCTCTCCACAATGGCCAAGACCAGAGAGCTGTGTAAGGACATCAGGGATAAAATTGTAGACCTGCACAAGGCTGGGATGGGCTACAGGACAATAGGCAAGCAGCTTCGTGAGAAGGCAACAACTGTTGGCGCAATTATTAGAAAATGGAAGAAGTTCAAGATGACGGTCAATCACCCTCGGTCTGGGGCTCCATGCAAGATCTCACTTCGTGGGGCATCAATGATCATGAGGAAGGTGAGGGATCAGTCCAGAACTACACGGCAGGACCTGGTCAATGACCTGAAGAGAGCTGGGACCACAGTCTCAAAGAAAACCATTAGTAACACACTACGCCGTCATGGATTAAAATCCTGCAGCCCACGCAAGGTCCCCCTGCTCAAGCCAGCGCATGTCCAGGCCCGTCTGAAGTTTGCCAATGACCATCTGGATGATCCAGAGGAGGAATGGGAGAAGGTCATGTGGTCTGATGAGACAAAAATAGAGCTTTTTGGTCAAAACTCCACTCGCCGTGTTTGGAGGAAGAAGAAGGATGAGTACAACCCCAAGAACACCATCCCAACTGTGAAGCATGGAGGTGGAAACATCATTCTTTGGGGATGCTTTTCTGCAAAGGGGACAGGACGACTGCACCGTATTGAGGGGAGGATGGATGGGGCCATGTATCGTGAGATCTTGGCCAACAACCTCCTTCCCTCAGTAAGAGCATTGAAGATGGGTCGTGGCTGGGTCTTCCAGCATGACAACGACCCGAAACACACAGCCAGGGCAGCTAAGGAGTGGCTCCATAAGAAGCATCTCAAGGTCCTGGAGTGGCCTAGCCAGTCTCCAGACCTGAACCCAATAGAAAATCTTTGGAGGGAGCTGAAAGTCCGTATTGCCCAGCGACAGCTCCGAAACCTGAAGGATCTGGAGAAGGTCTGTATGGAGGAGTGGGCCAAAATCCCTGCTGCAGTGTGTGCAAACCTGGTCAAGACCTACAGGCAACGTATGATCTCTGTAATTGCAAACAAAGGTTTCTGTAACAAATATTAAGTTCTGCTTTTCTGATGTATCAAATACTTATGTCATGCAATAAAATGCAAATTAATTACTTTAAAATCATACAATGTGATTTTCTGGATTTTTGTTTTAGATTCTGTCTCTCACAGTTGAAGTGTACCTATGATAAGAATTACAGACCTCTACATGCTTTGTAAGTAGGAAAACCTGCAAAATCGGCAGTGTATCAAATACTTGTTCTCCCCACTGTATCAGCGATATACGCGAATACCGATTTATCGTGATATTTAACAATTTAGATTATATGAAAATGTGGCTATCGGCCAACCCTAATGCAAGGGTTCCTCTTCATTACGTTCACGTATTCCGTCTGAATATGCATGAAGTAACTCTTTCTCTCTGCTCAACAGGTGCAGGTCTGGCTCTTCATCCAACAGAACCTGCTCAAGTCCAGCAAGTCCATCCGCCAGCTTTACAGCAACGCTCCTGACGCCGACAGCAAAGTTCGAGAGTAAGTAGTGACTGTTAAACATAATATTTTGAAGCCAGAGACTACTATTATTATATTGAACAGCAGCTTATGGTCCTCACTGATATGTGTGATTTTAAATAGAGGGTTGTTTTCATTAAGCACCAAACCGACTGAAATGGAGACTACCTGGACTGGTCCAATAAGAAACGCGAATTGTTTTCGGGTTCAAAATGTTTTACCACGGTTTGCCCTACTGAACACGACCAATGACTAACACTGACGTCTCTCTCAGGTGCCAGCTGCAGGCGGTGCTCAGGTTCGAGATGTGCCGACTCCTCCCCTCTGAGCAGCAGGCCGACACACCGGATGTGGAGCAGATGGTGGAGGAGGTAGGAAACGACTGATCATAGCCACCTCCACAACCCCAACACATTACTACCTGGATCCAAACAAAATAGGAGTCATTGACATGCTTTGATTTCTCCTTCCCTCTACCCAGGTGGCTGATATGCTGAGAATCATCTCTCTAACCAAAGACCCGGTGTACCTGGCCAAGTTCCTGCAAGATGAGGTCCTCCCCGTGTGAGTTTCCTCTCTGTGAAATCGGACTGAACATTAGGGGTTGAATCCAGATTAAGGAGATGAGGCAAATAGCGCTGTATAAAGTTATAGTGTAAATAGAGCTGTATAAAGTTATAGTATAAATAGCACTGTATAAAGTTATAGTGTAAATAGAGCTGTATAAAGTACAATAAATGGTGTTGTGGGCTGTCAGGTTCCTGACGACCATCCCGAGGGTCCTAGCAGACGTCTACCACAGCCTGGGAACCCAGCTGCCCGCCGCCCTGTCAGCCGTGCTGCCTTCGGACTTCTTCAGCGACGAGTCCGTGACCAAGGACAGCGTTTCTCCCTCCTCCTCCTCCCCTCCCCTCTCCACGGCCCTCAGCATGGCCTCCGACTGCGGGGAGCGACTACAGGAGCTACGCGACCGCTCCGCCAGCAAGAGGAGGTGAGTTAGCTTGGGCCAGAGGGACCGTTCCAAGTGACAGTGACCGTTCCAAGTTATCTGCTTTGTAATATGGTAATAATAATCTATGCCACTTAGCCAACGCTTTTATCCAAAGCGACTTACAGGACAGTGGAAATGAATCCATGACTTTGGCGTTGCCAGTGCCACGCTCTTACCAACTGAGCCACACAGGACCATGGGAACTTCGTTAGATGATAACAGCTAAACCATTTTACATGTACTTCTTGTTGAAGTGGATGAATGTCTGCTTGTTGTTAGTACACTTTCATATATAGCCCTCTTCAACTAACCTCTGTTGTGTTTGAGGAGTGGGAGGCTGACTCGCCATCGCAGCATGACTGAAGCATCCCAGAGTCTACAGATAGAGATGCCCAGGAAGTCCACCAGAGCGGTGAGCTAAGACGGGATACGTTATTTTATTCTACAACAGCTGTAAAGTCAGATAAAATAGGGCCTCGATCACTGGGTCTTCGTAATATTGATCTTGTGTTAGTCCTGTCTGGACGGATGTACAGTATGAACGTACTAATCACCCAAATGTTGATCTCCCTGTGTCGTATGAACAGGCCAAGCCGAAGCTCTGTGTTTCTGTGGAGAAAACAGCCGCTGAACCGCCCCCACCCCCAAAGCAGGCTGCACAAGGTAAGTCATGTCCTCCAACTCCTCTGTTAGATCAACAAACTCCTTGTCTCGGGGGGGTGGTAGAAGCTATTGGCCAGTCTTTCAGTTTTTCCCATGATGCTCCTGTACTGCCCGCGTCTGATTGATTGAAGCAGGGAGAACTGGGCGTGGCTGAGGTCCCTGATGATCTTCTTGGCCTGCCTGCGACACCTGGTGTTGTAGGTGTCCCGTAGGGAAGGCAGTGTACATCTTAGCCATCTTGTGCTGTGATTGTCCAATTCAATTAACACAACTTTATTTGGTCCACAGAGGTCACAAAGGTCCGGAGGAACTTGTTCAACCAGGAGACTATTTCCCCTTCCAAGAAGGCCAAGATGCCCAGGAGTCGGTCTGTCTCGGCCGTGGAGGGACTGAAGCGAAAACGCTCCCAGACGACAGGTGGTGGTGGTGGTGGTGGTGGTAAAGACAGTATATTCCATGATACTTCAGCATTCCTAGAGCTCATTGCATCAGTAACAAGCAAAAAGGTTTTGTTAGCACTGGGACTTACAGAGGAAATCTGCCCTTTTCAGATCGGCATTCCCTCCTGACCAAAAAGGTGATGGAGACGCCCCTTCATAAGCAGGTGTCCAACCGCCTGCTGCACAGGCAACAGATGGGCAGGTGAGTCCGACATGTTTAAAAAAAAATATATATATATATATCCAGATTATAAACTATATACTAAAATATATATATATATATATATATATATATATATACATACAGTGGGGGAAAAAAGTATTTAGTCAGCCACCAATTGTGCAAGTTCTCCCACTTAAAAAGATGAGAGAGGCCTGTAATTTTCATCATAGGTAAACGTCAACTATGACAGACAAATTGAGATTTTTTTCTCTCCAGAAAATCACATTGTAGGATTTTTAATGAATTTATTTGCAAATTATGGTGGAAAATAAGTATTTGGTCACCTACAAACAAGCAAGATTTCTGCCTCTCACAGACCTGTAACTTCTTCTTTAAGAGGCTCCTCTGTCCTCCACTCGTTACCTGTATTAATGGCACCTGTTTGAACTTGTTATCAGTATAAAAGACACCTGTCCACAACCTCAGTCACACTCCAAACTCCACTATGGCCAAGACCAAAGAGCTGTCAAAGGACACCAGAAACAAAATTGTAGACCTGCACCAGGCTGGGAAGACTGAATCTGCAATAGGTAAGCAGCTTGGTTTGAAGAAATCAACTGTGGGAGCAATTATTAGGAAATGGAAGACATACAAGACCACTGATAATCTCCCTCGATCTGGGGCTCCACGCAAGATCTCACCCCGTGGGGTCAAAATGATCACAAGAACGGTGAGCAAAAATCCCAGAACCACACGGGGAGACCTAGTGAATGACCTGCAGAGAGCTGGGACCAAAGCAACAAAGCCTACCATCAGTAACACACTACGCCACCAGGGACTCAAATCCTGCAGTGCCAGACGTGTCCCCCTGCTTAAGCCAGTACATGTCCAGGCCCGTCTGAAGTTTGCTAGAGTGCATTTGGATGATCCAGAAGAGGATTGGGAGAATGTCATATGGTCAGATGAAACCAAAATATAACTTTTTGGTAAAAAACTCAACTTGTCGTGTTTGGAGGACAAAGAATGCTGAGTTGCATCCAAAGAACACCATACCTACTGTGAAGCATGGGGGTGGAAACATCATGCTTTGGGGCTGTTTTTCTGCAAAGGGACCAGGACGACTGATCCGTGTAAAGGAAAGAATGAATGGGGCCATGTATCGTGAGATTTTGAGTGAAAACCTCCCATCAGCAAGGGCATTGAAGATGAAACGTGGCTGGGTCTTTCAGCATGACAATGATCCCAAACACACCGCCCGGGCAACGAAGGAGTGGCTTCGTAAGAAGCATTTCAAGGTCCTGGAGTGGCCTAGCCAGTCACCAGATCTCAACCCCATAGAAAATCTTTGGAGGGAGTTGAAAGTCCGTGTTGCCCAGCGACAGCCCCAAAACATCACTGCTCTAGAGGAGATCTGCATGGAGGAATGGGCCAAAATACCAGCAACAGTGTGTGAAAACCTTGTGAAGACTTACAGAAAACGTTTGACCTGTGTCATTGCCAACAAAGGGTATATAACAAAGTATTGAGAAACTTTTGTTATTGACCAAATACTTATTTTCCACCATAATTTGCAAATAAATTCATTAAAAATCCTACAATGTGATTTTCTGGATTTGTTTTTTTCTCATTTTGTCTGTCATAGTTGACTTGTACCTAAAATATAAGGCAATCATGTAAAGCAATGGATGGCCATACAGTGTTGTGTGGATATATTGATATCTGACAAAAAATAAACAACATGTGTGGAGCATTGTGTGGTTTTCTGATGTCAACATGTGTGAATAGAGTTCCATTGTGGGTAGTTGGGTTCATGGTATGGGCAGGGCATAAGCTACGGAGAGCGAACACAATTGCATTTTATCGATGGCCAATTGATGCACAGAGATACCCGTTGACGAGATCCTGAGGCCCATTGTCGTGCCATTCATCCGCCGCCATCACCCCATGTTTCAGCATGATAATGCACAGCCCCATGTCGCAAGGATCTGATGCACAATTCCTGGAAACTGAAAATGTCACAGTTCTTCCATGGTCTGCATACTCACCAGACATGTCACCCATTGAGCATGTTTGGGATGCTCTGGATCCACATGTACGACAGCGTGTTCCAGTTCCCTCCAATATCCAGCAGCTTCTTACAGCCATTGAAAAGGAGTGGGACAACATTCCATAGGCCACAATCAATAGCCTGATCAACTCTATGCGAAGGAGCTGTGTCGCGGTGCATGAAGAAAATGGTGGTCACACCAGATATTGACTGGTTTTCCGATCCATGCCCCTACCTTTTTTTAAAGGTATCTGTGACCAACACATGCATATCTGTATTCCCAGTCATGTGAATTCCATAGATTAGGGCCTAATTGGGCGGCAGGTAGCTTAGTGGCTAATAGCGTTGTGCCAGTAACCTAAAGGTCCCTGATTCTAATCCCCAAGCCGACTAGGTGAAAAATCTGTCTGTGCCCTTGAGCAAGGCACTTAACCCTAATTGCTCCTGTAAGTCGCTCTGGATAAGAGCGTCTGCTAAATATAAAAACAAAAACAAAAAATGGTTTATTTAAATTGAATGATTTCCTTATATGAACTGTAACTCAGTAAAACCTTTAAAATGGTTGCAGGTTGCATTTATATTTTTGTTCAGTGTATATTTCCACACTATGAGGTTGGAATAATACTTGGAAATTATAAAAATTATAATGCCTTTTTAGTGTATGAGCTGTTTGAAAAGACTGCCTGTTTTGGTGGGATGGAGTTTTGGCCTGCCTGGGGCCATCACCAATCGGTAAATTAGTTAATAGACCAATAAGAAAGAGTTCCAAACCTCTCTGCCAATAACAGCTAGTTTTCAGTTTTCCCCTCCCCACTCAGACCACTCCTAGTAAAATTGTGTTTTGAGAAATCGCTTAGAAGCAATATTTGTTTATTTTTTACCATTTTAATTGAAAACAATAACAGTAAAGTAATTATTTGTCACCCAGAAATTATTTGATATTGAGATTAGAAGGAAAAAAAAACGGCTGCATTGGACCTTTTAATATTAATTAACCAATTAATTTGTCATCATTCATATATTAAAAAATTGTATTTCATTGTTGGCAGTGCAAGTGGCTCAGAATTGGCCTGTGGAGAGCCTTGTTGTATTATATATTAGTTTAACATTTTATTTGTTTAGGAGAAGTTATTACTGTAACTGAATTGGTAGCAGTGCATCATGGGGGACAATAGTGGATAAGCAAAATGTGAAATGTCCTGACTGTTTGATTTGTCAGGAGGTCTGTCCCGACGGAGGAGTGCATCGTTGAGGAGTCGCCAGAGAAGCCTCCAGAAGGTCAGTGACGGGGGCTAAGAGTGTATATGAAACAGACAATGTCCTGTGCACATTTCTGAGATGCTAATAAAGTTTTTAATATCAACCACATAAAAAATGTAATTGTATAAGTTGATAAACAGTCAGTGGTTTTAATTGTTTTAAAATGACAATATGAAAGACATGAAAAATGATGTTATGATATTTATAACAGACTTGAGGAGGAGTCCAAGGTTGAAGAATTTTGCCAGGAGACATTCCAGCTTCTACTCAAGCTCCCAGCCTCGCTCCCGCAACCTGGACAGAGCTCTCTCCTCCTCTCAGCTCCCGCTCAGCAACAGCAAAATAGGTAGGTGGACTAAACACCATTATTTCAGGTGTATCAGTACAGTTATCTTTCAGCTGACACACATTGACAGTTGATCATTCAATTGCTGTAGGTGCGGTAAGCCTGCGGTCAGTACGGTCTCCAGTACGTCTTCTGTTTGAAGCCACACAGTCCAGTTCCAGCTGGAGGCAGCTGTCTAACTCTGATGTCTTCCAGGTAACTACTCCATCTCGTTGAACCTCTTCAGTTGTCATGCAGTGCATTCGGAAAGTATTCAGACCCCTTCACTTTTTCCACCTTTTGTTACGTTACAGCCTTATTCTAAAATGGATTAAAAATTAAATAAATCCTCATCAATCTACACACAATACCCCATAATGACAGGTTTTTAGAAACGTTTGCACATTTATAAAAATTTAAAAAAGTATTCAGACCCTTTCCTATGAGACTCAAAATTGAGCTCAGGTGCATCCTGTTTCCATTGGTCATCCTTGATGTTTCTACAACTTGATTGGAGTCCACCTGTGGTAAGTTCAATTGATTAGACATTATTTGGAAAGGCACACACCTGTCTATATAAGGTCCCACAGTTGACAGTGCATGTCAGAGCAAAAACCAAGCCATGAGGTCGAATGAATTGTACGTAGAGCTCCGAGACAGGATTGTGTCGAGGCACAGATCTGGGGAAGGTTACCATAAATTGAAGGTCCCCAAGAACACAGTGGCCTCCATCAAATGGAATAAGTTTGGAACCACCAAGACTCTTCCTAGAGGTGGCCGTGCGGCCAAACTGAGCAATCGTAGCAGAAGGGCCTTGGTCGGGGAGGTGACCAAGAACGTGATGGTCACTGATAGAGCTCCAGAGTTCCTCTGTGGAGATGGGAGAACCTTCCAGAAGGACAACAATCTCTGCAGCACTCCACCAATCAGGCCTTTTATGGGATAGTGGCCAGACGGAAGCCACTCCTCAGTAAAATGCACATGACAGCCCGCTTGGAGTTTGCCAAAAGGCACCTAAAGGACTCTGACCATGAGAAACAAGATTCTCTGGTCTAATGAAACCAAGATTGAACTCTTTGGCCTGAATGCCAAGCGTCACGTCTGGAGGAAACCTGGCACCGCTTGTCACCTGGCCAATACCATCCCTACGGTGAAGCATGGTGGTGGCAGCGTCATGCTGTGGGGATGTTTTTCAGCGGCAGGGACTGGGAAACTAATCAGGATCGAGGGAAAGATGAACGGAGCAATGTACAGAGGGATCCTTGATGAAAACCTGCTCCAGAGCGCTCAGGACCTCACACTGGGGTGAAGGTTTACCTTCCAACAGGACAACGACCCTAAGCACACAGCCAAGACAATGTAGGAGTGGCTTCGGGACAAGTCTCTGAATATCCTTGAGTGGCCCAGCCAGAGCCCGGACTTGAACCCGATCGAACATCTCTGGAGAAACCTGAAAATAGCTGTGCAGCATCGCTCCCCGTCCAACCTGACAGCGCTTGAGAGGATCTGCAGAGAAGAATGGGAGAAACTCCCCAAATACAGGTGTGCCAAGCTTGTAGCGTCATACCCAAGAAGACTTGAGGCTGTAATCGCTGCCAAAGGTGCTTCAACAAAGTACTGAGTAAAGGGTCTGAATACTTATGTAAATGTGATATTTATTTTTATTTTTGTGCAAAAATGTATAAAAACCTGTTTTCGCTTTGTCATCGGGTATTGTGTAGATTATTGAGGATTTATTTTTTAAATCAATTTTAGAATAAGGCTGTAACGTAACTAAAGGTGGAAAAGGTGAAAGGGTCTGAATATTTACCGAATGCACTGTATACCAAAAAAAAAAATTCTCCCAAGCAAAGAATAACAATACTGATTAATTTACGATACTTATTGGAAATACTTGATTGGTTTTCCTTTTCAGAGTCCAAAGAAAACTCCTACAAAGTCGCCTGGTAGGTCTGCTAGAGGGAGCAGGACATCCAGAAGCCCTCAGACCCCCAGAACACCTAAGACCCACAGGTCCTCCAGGGTCCAGAGTTACTCGGTCACAGACAGCCAGATGGCAGGGCCCTCTCACGGGCAGGGCGGCATGGCCCTGAGGGGCAGCCCCTTCAGATCCCCAGCCAGGAGGAGCCTGGTGCTGGAGACGCCCCAAAAGGTGAGCCCTCTGAAGGGCATCCTGAGGACTCCGGTCAAGACAGTACTGGAGTGTCTGTCTCCCATCGGCGCTCGCCAGCTCCAGAGCCCTCCCTGCTCCAGAACACCCAGGAAGCATGTCACCTGGTCCCCGTCTCCACGGAAACCTAGAGTCGCGGAGACTAACACACCCTTCAAGGTGCCAGAGTCGCCTCGCCTTTCCACCCGACGCTCTCCAAAGCTGTTGATGAACACACCTGAAAAGTTCTGCAGTCCGCTCAAGAGTCCCAGCAGCAAACAGGCAATATCTAAGACTCCAGAAAAAGTAGTACAGCGATCGCTCAGAATTTCCCCCCAGGCGTCTCTGTCCAGGATTCAGGAAAATTCTGCTGCAGGTGGCGTTGAGATGACGCCAGAGAAAAGTGGACATCAGAGGTCTTCCAAACGGCTTGTTATGGGAAAGTTCAACACACCTGTTAAGGATGAGCAGGACCTCCCTGATGGTCCCCAGAAACGCCACTCTTCTGGTTCCACACCACCTCCTGACCACTTCTCCCCACCCACTCCCACCACCAGAACCCCCAGGAAATCTCTGAGCCCTGGCCACCGCATGCACACACCCTCTGGAGGAACTCCTGTTGAAGACTATCTCTCCATGCCTCCAGACCAAGGCATGCCTACACCAACGAAAGGGACCTCCGTATTGTCAAGGTCCAAAACGTCACCTAAGACTCCTGTCAAAACCCAACTGAATAAAACGACAGTTGTCACCTCTTCAGCTAAACGTTTGACCAGGACTGGCTCTGGCCAGGGTGTGAAAGCTAAAACCAGGCAGAACCTGAGATCCCTGTCAAATGAGAGTTTAACTGTAGTAGCAGCCAGCATGGATCTTACAAGTGAGGAAACCAGTGACAACGTGACCAGCGGAAATGTGCCATCAGACTTCCAGGAGAGGGAGCAGTCTTCCCAGTCCAACTCCCAGGCCTTGGGCGAAGAGATGGAGGCCAGCTCCCAGCAGCTTGAATCTTCCCAGTTCAGCGCCACCACCAGTGAGGACGAGAGCATCGACATCTCCGAGGCCACCGTGGTCAAGACCCAAATCACTGACGGCCTCAAGATGCACATATCCTTCTCCAGGAAACCCTCAAAGTCCGGCGACCAAGTCTTCGAGTTTACCGGAGCCTCTGCCAAACAGCCAATGCCCGCAGAAACCACTACACCTGGGAGAAGCTATGGTTTCCGCCGGACCCCTGACCGCCAGCAGAGGGAGGCAGCAGCCCGTTGGGGGTACTCCACTGAACCATCTCGGTTCTCCACCCCCAGGACTTCAGGAATCCCCACAAGTCGCAAGAAGGAGCTCGTCAGCCCGAACCCCCTTGCATACCAAGTGGAGCTGGAGATGCAGGCGTCGGGGCTGCCCAAGCTCAAGTTAAAGCGCATGGACTCCTTCAATGCCGGGGATGGGGCTGCAGGGTCTCAGACTCCCACTGTCAGTATGAACCACCCCCACACGGACAGCCCTCTTGGCCTCTGCTCCAAACACAGAGACTCCGGTTGCGTCTCGCCATCACTATGCACCCACGGCACTCCCGCCAAGGGCACGCCGGGGAAAGGGGGCTTCCAGACGTACATCTGCCAGTCCTACACCCCTACGCACCACCCCGCAGGGACCATGTCCCCCCTGGGCACAGCAGAGCTCATCCCCCTGACCCCGTCCCCCCAGAGCATGGGAAGGTCCACCCCAGAGAGCCTCAACAGCTGGCCCCGAAAGAAGAGGGCTCGGCCTGGGGCGGTGGGGGGCAAGCAGCGGGGCTTGAAGGAGGAGCCCCTGCTAGAGGGGCTGGAGATGTTGGACGAGACAGAGCTGGAGGGAGTCTACAGACTGAAGGAGACTGAGGAGACTGACGCCCTTCCAGCCAGCATGGCACCACTGGCTCCCAGGTCCAGCCAGGTTACCAGGCTCTCCCCTGGTAAGAGAGCAGGCTCTCCTCTGGACCAGCTGGAGGACATGGACTGGATGGGCCAGGTTCAGCAGGCTGAAGGTGCCGAGCCTCTAAAAGATGAAGATTCCGTCTGGGCCACTGGAACTGTTCACTGTGAGTCTTTTTATTAATTTAATTTATTAATATGATTCCTCTAATGGTGACATTTTCATCTGTTTATTGATTCGCAATAGTTTGATTTTTGTTTGTTGGTTTGATTGATTACCTTCAGCATTGGTGACGCCCCCCAGCTCTAAGGTGAGGAAGCCAGTGTCTGCCAGTGGGATTCTAGCCCTCACTCAGTCGCCCATGTTATTCAAGGGGAAGGCAAGTTCTGCCACCAAGAGAACCCCTTTATTTTCTAGGTGAGATTATGCTCAGACTTATGTATGTTTTATATTACTATACTACCAGTGTTTAGTTTTGTTCCTAATATCTCAGCTAGGAATTTTAAAATATGCCATTCAGTTCAGAAAAGGCTAAATGATGTGTAAAGAAATGTACATCTGATTGTCTTTTAGATTAAGCCCCTTCTCACAAGAAGATGGCGTTTGAGTTGGAGCTCTCTCCCTTCAGCCAGCCCCCCCAGACGGCCAACTACAGGAAAGACCTACAGCATGAAGAGACTGACGTGTACTGGACTGGACTGGCCTGGACTGACCTGGCCTGGCCTGGCCCAGCAGTCTCCATGTCAGACTTCTTTCAACCCAGCGGTTTTGTAAGGTATTCTTTAAACAGGGGGCCCAAATGTTGATTATTTCATATTTGAGGCCTCAGAAAAAAGCTCTGCCTATGAATGTTCTGCCACAACCTACCCTGAGAGAACATCATTGGACGCTTGGCTTTTTCGCCAACCCTGGGTTGATGGCTGGTTATCTTTTCCTTTTGGATTGGTATATGTATGACTGAAGTATTTGCTTGGGATATTTGTTAGTCCAAAGGGTCAAGTCAAATACAAACACTTTTTTCTCTGGATCAAAAGCGTAATTGAACTACATTACAATCAAGTCTCACAACATGAACATTTTAAAAGATTATGGTTCTTAATGTTTATTTATTGGCTAGTTTGTGTTTTTTTATTTGTTTTTGTCACACAACTTATTTTTCGTAAAAGGGAAGATATAGTGGCCTAGTATGTACATATGTTTATATATTGAAGTTAATTTGTAAATAAAAGCTAATCTCTTTTAAATAAAGCTATTAACATTCCTAATTTGACTGTTTGTTTTTAAAACAATTTATTTATACTTTTATACCTAGATTAGTAAAGTTAACCATAATTTAAATGCAGAACTGGGCCGAAAATACACTACAACACATGGCTAAAAGTATGTGGACACCTGCTCGTCGAACATCTCATTCCAAAATCATTGGAATTAATATGGAGTTGGTCCCCCCTTTGCTGCTATAACAGCCTCAACTCTTCTGGGAAGGCTTTTCACTAGATGTTGGAACATTGCTGCGGGGACTTGCTTCTATTCAGCCACAAGAGCATTAGTGAGGTCGGGCACGGATGTTGGGCGATTAGGCCTAGCTCGCAGTCTGCGTTCTAATTCATCCCAAATGTGTTCGATGGGGTTGAGGTCAGGGCTCTTTGCACGCCTGTGTCAAGTTCTTCCACACCAATCTTGACAAACCGTTTCTGTATGGACCTCATTTTGTGCACAGGGGCATTGTCATGCTGAAACAGGAAAGGGCCTTCCCCAAACTGTTGCCACAAAGCTGTAAGCTCAGAATCGTGTAGAATGTAATTGTATGATGTAGCGTTAAGATTTCACTTCACTGGAACTAAGGGGCCAAGCCCGAACCATGAAAAACAGCCCCAGACCATTTTTCCTCCTCCAACTTTACAGTTGGCACTATGCATTGGGGCAGGTAGCATTCTCCTGGCATCCACCAAACCCAGATACGTCCGTTTGACTGCCAGATGGTGAAGCGTGATTCATCACTCCAGAGAACGTGTTTCCACTGCTCCATGGTCCAATGGCAGTGAGCTTTACACCACTCCAGCCAGCGTTTGGCATTCCATATGTTGATCTTAGGCTTGTGTGCAGCTGCTCGGCCATGGAAACTCATTTCATGAAGCTCCTGCTTCCAGGGGCAGTTTGGAACTCGGTAGTGAGTGTTGCAACCGAGGACAGACTATTTTTAAGCACTACATGCTTCAAGCACTTGGCGGTCCTGTTCTGTGAGCTTGTGTGGCCTACCACTTCGCGGCTGAGCCGTTGTTGTTCCTAGACATGTCCACTTCACAATAACAGCAATTACGGTTGACCGGGGCAGCTCTAGCACGATTGAAATTTGACGAACTGACTTGTTGGAAAGGTGGCATCTTATGACGGTGCCACATGGAAAGTCACTGAGCTCTTCAGTAAGGCCATTCTACTGCCAATGTTTGTCTATGGAAATTGCATGGCTGTGTGCTCGATTTTTATACACCTGTCAGCAACGGGTGTGGCTGAAATAGCCGAATCCACTAATTTGAAGGGGTGTCCACATCTTTAAATATCAACTTTTCTAAATTGTTTGTGGTAGATGTTATATTTTAAATACCTTTTCACAAAACAATATAAAATACACTGCTCAAAAAAATAAAGGGAACACTTAAACAACACAATGTAACTCCAAGTCAATCACACTTCTGTGAAATCAAACTGTCCACTTAGGAAGCAACACTGATTGACAATAAATTGCACATGCTGTTGTGCAAATGGAATAGACAACAGGTGGAAATTATAGGCAATTAGCAAGACACCCCCAATAAAGGACTGGTTTTGCAGGTGGTGACTACAGACCACTTCTCAGTTCCTATGCTTCCTGGCTGATGTTTTGGTCACTTTTGAATGCTGGCGGTGCTTTCACTCTAGTGGTAGCATGAGACGGAGTCTACAACCCACACAAGTGGCTCTGGTAGTGCAGCTCATCCAGGATGGCACATCAATGCGAGCTGTGGCAAGAAGGTTTGCTGTGTCTTTCAGCGTAGTGTCCAGAGCATGGAGGCGCTACCAGGAGACAGGCCAGTACATCAGGAGACGTGGAGGAGGCCGTAGGAGGGCAACAACCCAGCAGCAGGACTGCTACCTCCGCCTTTGTGCAAGGAGGAGCAGGAGGAGCACTGCCAGAGCCCTGCAAAATGACCTCCAGCAGGCCACAAATGTGCATGTGTCTGCTCAAACGGTCAGAAACAGTCTCCATGAGGGTGGTATGAGGGCCCGACGTCCACAGGTGGGGGTTGTGCTTACAGCACAACACCGTGCAGGACGTTTGGCATTTGCCAGAGAACACCAAGATTGGCAAATTCGCCACTGGCGCCCTGTGCTCTTCACAGATGAAAGCAGGTTCACACTGAGCACATGTGACAGACGTGACAGAGTCTGGAGACGCCGTGGAGAACATTCTGCTGCCTGCAACATCCTCCAGCATGACAGGTTTGGCGGTGGGTCAGTCATGGTGTGGGGTGGCATTTCTTTGGGGGGCCGCACAGCCCTCCATGTGCTCGCCAGAGGTAGCCTGACTGCCATTAGATACCGAGATGAGATCCTCAGACCCCTTGTGAGACCATATGCTGGTGCGGTTGGTCCTGGGTTCCTCCTAATGCAAGACAATGCTAGACCTCATGTGGCTGGAGTGTGTCAGCAGTTCCTGCAAGAGGAAGGCATTGATGCTGTGGACTGGCCCGCCCGTTCCCCAGACCTGAATCCAATTGAGCACATCTGGGACATCATGTCTCGCTCCATCCACCAACGCCACGTTGCACCACAGACTGTCCAGGAGTTGGCGGATACTTTAGTCCAGGTCTGAGAGGAGATCCCTCAGGAGACCATCCGCCACCTCATCAGGAGCATGCCCAGGCGTTGTAGGGAGGTCATACAGGCACGTGGAGGCCACACACACTACTGAGCCTCATTTTGACTTGTTTTAAGGACATTACATCAGTTGGATCAGCCTGTAGTGTGGTTTTCCACTTTAATTTTGAGGATGACTCCAAATCCAGACCTCCATGGGTAGATCAATTTTGATTTCCATTGATAATTTTTGTGTGATTTTGTTGTCAGCACATTCAACTATGTAAAGAAAAAAGTATTGAATAAGATTATTTCATTCATTCAGATCTAGGATGTGTTGTTTAAGTGTTCCCTTTATTTTTTTGAGCAGTGTAGTTAACTTTAAATATCTTATTACATATTGTTTTATTTGAATGAAATAAAATTTGAAAAACTAAAACCACAGTTATTAGTGTTTATTTAAATATATAAGTAACATTCTTTATCGCTAGAATCCCCCGAATGTTCATTGACCACTGAATGTTCAGTATGTGACTGACCAGGTATCAAGTCTGGGTTGTTTACACGATTCAAGATTGTGCTAGCCTACTTGGCTAAGGGTACGGCCACACTGAGACGCAGGAACGCGGATGACATGGGGATAGGCCTACGTCATTGTCTGCTTTTATCCACCTACTGTTTTTCAGATGAATTGCATACTTAACAAAGGCGGACATATTGTGTGTTTTTTGACAAACTATCATTTTAGTTGTCATTCATCCAGCAACCGATGACTTCCGTTGAAAAACTATTGGCTCAATCCAGATTTTTCAGACACAAAATCTCAATGTTGGCAGACCCTAAAGCCTAGGCGTCATCTCTGGGCGCTACAATGAGTAATTCACTTTCCGTACTCCTCATGCAAGTCATTGTGCAAACCTCTTTTTGTCATTTCCTGTTTTAATTTCTGTACCTTTTTATTTTTTTAATTTTATTTACAATTTTTCAAAAAATATACTAGTTAGGTCTACTATTTATCACAGTTTTGGTTCAAAGTTTCCATCACTGGACCCAGTGGACGGGCAGTAAACCTGTCCAGGTTTTTATTTATTTATTGCCTTATCAGCAGGTATATTTGATAAAAGATACCTGATCGTCTAACTCTGAACTCTCCTGTTCAAAGGTCAGATCTGTAAAGTACATCACCCTTTATCTTCCAACTCCAGGCCTCCCTGGCAGACAGTAGTATAGATATGAAATAACTTCCAATAACTTAATAGTTATCTTATCCTGAATTATTAACCCATTATGCAACACTTTTGGTTTCCAGGTAAGGATATAGGTGTACATATGGGGTGTGGGGGGGTGCTAGTGTGAAAGGCTCTACGCAAATGGAGCCGAAGGACGTCTGTTTGTCGCGTTCCAAAATTCAGCTGCACAAATGTACATGGCTACGTAGAGAGCGACGCAAACGGACCTCCGTCGGCACTTGTTTTCATAGACTGTAGACCCCGTTTAGTCATGATGTGTGTGTGTGTGTGTGTGTGTGTCAGGTGAACTGGTAGGTGTTAGTCATGTGTGTATCAGGTGCTCTGATAGGCACAATCAACTCTTAACGGAGATAAGGAACCACCACGCCTCACAGGACTGCCAGGGTGGCCAAAGGCATCGATGGGCAGTGCCATCCAGTAACTGGGTACTGCAACAAGGTGAGACTATCCTACATATATTTAACATTTTGTAGTGTGTCACAATTGTTTTATTAACTTACAATGTATAAGTGCTTTACATATTTTAATAATTGGTTTGCCATGAATGTTAACTCTACCGTACCATATTATGATATGTTTAACAATTATTATTTATTGCAGTTTTATCATTCAGTAGTAGACTGCTATTTTTTTATTAGTTTTATTATTCCACATGATAAGACTGCTGATTGTTAATTTCTAATGCAAAAGCATATTTTATGCAATCATTCCTCCTGCAATGGAATTGCCTTTATGCCTGTATAAAAAAAACGCCTCATGCATAATTTCCTCCTGTGAACTTTGATCAGATAATGTATAAGCTTGCTGTTTCCTCATTTCATGTCTGTACATTTTTTAAACAAGAAAATGGTGCCTTCTGCTTTGCTTAATATAAGGAATTTTAAATGATTGATACTTTTACTTTTGATACTTCAGTATATTTTAGCAATACATTTACTTTTGATACTTAAGTATATTTAAAACCAAATACTTTTATACTTTTACTCAAGTATTTTACTGGGTGACTTACACTTTTACTTGAGTAACTTTCTATTAAGGTATCTATACTTTTACTCAAGTATGACAATTGGGTACTTTTTCCACCACTGTATATGGCAATGGTCGATTTGCATATAGGCCTACTGCAGCTCTGATTGGCTATGCCGCACGGTCTGTGTAGATTACGGGCTGAGTCGTGCGCAATAGTATCCTACTCCTATGGTTCTGCCTACAACAAAATCTCTTGCATAGTTAGTTTTGTGTCGGTATGTTGCATTGAAAGTGGCCAATATTGCGTTGATTCGATCACAATTGCCACAGTAGAGGGAAACGTTTATCGTGTTAACTAACAGGGAAAACTTGAAGTTCAATTATGTGCTTCTCTCAGTGGGCTGATATTTGTTCTGCGCTCTGTGCAGCAGTCCTGGGGGAGCTGCGCGGCGGTCTCGGGGCTACTGCGCACGCTTGCAGTTTAGAGGGAACATTGGGTGGAAGCCTACTTGTTCTAATTGAGTTGAAACATAATTACCTGAATACATTTTGTAAATCTAACATAGTTTCTAATTATTATTTCTCAATTCAGTAGTGTTTCAATAACACAATTAAATTCAGATCTGTATTAACAATTTAATGTAAAAAGAACTTGTTTTCCAGTAGGTGTAACTACCGTCCAACACTGAATTAAGTAGGCTGGTGTGTATGGGAATTGAGAGCGTTTTGAAAGGAGGGGTGAAATACATACGGACTACAGCAAATGCTGCTACAGCCTAGTGTAGCCGCTTCGTCTTGCTGCATTCACTTGGATCCCTCAGCATTCACACCACGCGCCGTCTCCTCTTCCAGCCTCACTCATCTATCCTCTCTGATTTCATCCTTTTCTTTTAGATTCGTAGCACCACCAAGGCTCACATTTCATTCATCCCTACCTCTCAAACTGTGGAAATAAAGCAATGGCAAACAACTTCGCCAGAATTTTGTCCAGCAAACGAAATGTGGGCATTCTGTCATTAGTTGGAGCCGGATCTTTGACAGCGGCCTTTCTGCTCAACCGTGAACATGTCACCGCAGGAGCGCAAGTACGGAGAGTGTACCCCGCCAGGTAACCCACGACGCCCTTTATTGTGAAATATGGACATTCAGTCCAGCCATTTCAAGTGCGACATATTGGCATGCTGTAGGCCTATTTAGATACAATAATACATGAATAATAGTCTATGCTGACCTAGATTGAATTCTCTGACTGTCAAAACAATTCAAGTGACTGGAGACGAGATGCCATTATTTTAGCAGCAGCATTGTATGAATGTGCTAATTCTAGTCGGTTCTTTCTTTCTTAGCTTTTTGTGGAAATGATAAATGATCTAGGCCTGTATATTCATGAAATATTAAACCTATATTCCACCTCATGTTTTTTATGCCTAATGATGAAAGATAGCCTAAATATAAACAATTAAAATGTATATTCAAGATAATTCTCTGAATGCATGGTGTACTGATGGAATGTTTTGCCAACAAAATGTAGCCTACATTGTTGATACGCTCTAATTAATTTGTTGATGAGACAGACAGGTGTGTTTTTTCCAGAACCATGTTGGAATGGTCTAGAATGAATCTCCTTATGACTGGCATGGGGGCTGGGTTAAAACTCAGCTTTATGGCTTTATAATGATAGGCAGAATCTACCGCAAAACCGATTAGAGAAGATGCAAACAGAAGAGGCAAAATGCAAACAGATTGCATAACGCGTAGGCCTATTAAGAAATATAGGATATAACGTTTCCAAAGCATAGTCGAGGAATGCTCGACGTCTTGTGCGAGCAGATTGTAGCATGTATGGCTACACTGTAATGTCTGTGATGACCGCGCACTGTGCCAGGTGAAGGCTGAACATATCGCGCCGTCACTTATAAGTCAAAGAAAAGCACAGCTAGACTAGAACAGTCAGCCATTAATGGAAATCACTGTATAAATATTTTTATTTTTTACATTTTTTAGTCATTTAGCAGACGCTCTTATCCAGAGCGACTTACAGTTAGAGTAGCCTAGGCTACATTGCAGCGAGTCTTAGGCTGTAATTATCATGGGTCACCAATCACAATGAACACTTATTAGTCACGCGTATTTAAATATTTTTTATTTAAATTATCCTTGTGGTTCTCAAAGACAATGATTCAGCAAATTTTTTTGTCTGTGTGACTGAATGTATCCCGACAGTGCGGAGTACCCGGACCTACGCAAGCACAACAACTGCATGGCCAGCCACCTGACCCCTGCCATCTATGCCAAGCTTGTGGAAAAGGCCACGCCCAACGGGTACACTCTTGACCAGGCCATCCAGACTGGCGTGGACAACCCCGGGCACCCCTTCATAAAAACTGTGGGCATGGTGGCAGGGGATGAGGAGTCCTATGAGGTCAGAGCAGGCGGCGTTGGTTGGTGGCAGAAATTAGAAGTCAATGAAGGCAGATGACAAATGTATTGATTTCATCAGGGTGAAGCCATAGACTGTCTAGTTTCTCAGTTCCTCACCTCTCTTTCAAAGCGTATTGAGGATCCAATGTCCCTCTGGACCTCGTCCTCAAATGAGCTTTGAGAGGAAGGTGGGGAATTGAGGAAACCAGGATCGAGGAAGCAAAGATTTGACTGGTAGTAACATTTTTAAGGCAGCTTGTAGACTAAAGAAAAGGAGAGCCTCACACTCTAGGAGCTCAGATGCAATAATTTAATAAACTAATAACCCATGTTTGGACAGACAAGCTGTCTAGACATAACCTAACCGTAGACTTATGGGCGAAGGTCAAGTTGTGGAGCATATTTATGGACAGGGAAAAAAAGCAATTGCTTTACAGTATCGAACCCCTACAGTCTTTTGGATTGTTGCAGAGTATGATAAATTATCTGGAAGTTTCTTAAAGCCATAAAAAGCCCATTTAGTCAACAGGCTACATTTATCTCAACGACATTAAGAATGAAGGAGGAATCTGTCTTTGATACTTTTTTACATGAGGAGGAGCAAGAGCCAATCCCAGCCACTTAATCTGACCATGGAGAACAGCCACACCCAATCCCCCTGTCCCGTTTCAGACTGAGGCCAACTCCCACCGCATCAGAGGGGTGCTGGTTTTAGGATAGAGGAGACTCATTTGGGATCTCATCATTTGGTCATCAGTGTCATTGCTTGCTATGAAACTACACCTACTTATAGACATTTCTATAATAGTATAGCATAAATCCTACTTAACTAGAGTACAATACTATACTGTGAGCCTGTCTGGTAGTTTGTAAAGTGACAGTGATTATATGTAGTCTACATAACTCCCATCCTGTCAGTTGTGACAACTATATGATAGGCTGTATAATGATGGTATATAGTCAGACTTCTGGTGTGGATGTGGGGGGTTTCAGGTGTTTGCAGACCTCCTTGACCCGGTCATCAAGGAGAGGCACAACGGCTACGACCCTCAGACTATGACCCATCCCACCGACTTGGACTCCAACAAGGTACAGAGATGCAACTTCACTGAAAAACGACAGTATATGATTACGTCCCAAATGGCATCCTCTTCCCTTTATAGTGCACTACTTTAGACCAGGGATCTGGTCAAAAGTAGTGCACTATATAGGGAATAGGGTGCCATTTGGGACGTAAACGAGATGTGACAGTTTGCCCTCATCAGGGAGATTTCTGTAACTGGCTGAATGGTGGAGCTGACTACGTCTGTCCTGACCGTTCGCTATCTCTACCTGGTCACACCACACACAGACGATGTTAGGTGTTGCATACTACCATTTCTAATATTAGAAGGTGGACAGGTTCACTGACCGGATGCTACACTAATCAGTGATCCCAGCTAATATTATATCGTTAGGCAGTAAATCAATTGTGCATACTGGAATGTTAATCATATGTTACGTTATTACGTGAATAATCGTTGCTGTCTGATGAAAACCTCCAAAACAGAAACCTTTCAGGAAATTGAAACAAATGGCCATATTTTCAGTTTTAACGAACATATAATTCTGAAACTAGAAGCTATTTTGAATACATTTTCTTGGTCCTATATTCATAAAATGTTCAGAGTACATTGAGGGAAGTTACTGCTTTCAATAAAAATAAAGGGGCAAAAATTGAGTTACGAGGTTTTCGTCAGACCGCGACGATGTGTTACGCTACAATGAATGTCAGTTACTGTATAAGGCATACAAATCACATATCAAAGGAACATCATGTAGGATCAATAATCATGTCATGACTTCCTTGACGAACCATTTTGCTCTTTGGGGAGCATAGATTTCCTCCATCGGGTTGGTTTCATGATACTAGGCCTAAATGCCATACTATTTACTACTATAGCTATGCCATTCGTTATTTTTCTGTTTCCCTCCGTCTGTCAGCTCAAGTCGGGCAAATTCGACGATCGCTACGTGCTGTCGTCGCGGGTCAGGACGGGCCGTAGCATCAGGGGACTTAGCCTGCCCCCGGCTTGCACCCGGGCAGAGCGTCGGGAAGTGGAGAGGGTGGTGGTGGATGCTCTGGCTGGCCTGAAGGGGGACCTGGCGGGGACGTACTACAGCCTCACCCACATGACAGACCAGGAGCAGCAGCAGCTCATTGACGTGAGTCAGAGGACAGGAGAAGAGGGAAACAAAACAATGTTTTGTTAGGCGTTTGATATTGTTCCCCTTTCATTAAGACAGCATTTCCTGTCTCTACTGTGTTGACACAGGACCACTTCCTGTTCGACAAACCCGTGTCCCCTCTGCTGACCTGTTCGGGGATGGCCCGCGATTGGCCAGATGCACGCGGTATCTGGTAAGCACCTGTTGGTTATAGATACAGAACCTTAGTGGTCATAAACAGTCATAGCGGTGCTTTTGATGATTGTCTCACAGTTATTATTTGCATACAGTTTGTGCTACACATCACCATGACCATTCTTTATGGAGGATTTCCTTCTAGCAAAGTGACAATGCCCACTAGCTTGTATCTCCTGTACACTGAGCCTTAGACGTACATTATTGATGCCGACAATGCCCTCTCCGCATTGAGTTTCAGCCAGTGCCCAGAAATAGCCTGATGCAAACCGCTACCCTGCCATGGCCTGCTCCAGCATCGATCTCCAGCCTTTCTCTGACCCCCCTCTGTTCCCATGCCAACCTCTTCTCCTCTCCTCTATAATTCATCCTCATAAATAAAACATGTTCATTGGTAGCACTGTTGCCCCCAACTTAAAAAAGTTAGGAGCACAAGATAAAATCTAGAAGCACCAGAATATATATATATATATTTTTTTTTTATTTTTATGGATTGAGATATAGCACATTGGGCCTATTGGAATTCTAGCTACTTTTGAAGCACATGTTATGCTCTAGACATTAATGTGTAAAACTGTAAAGACATTTGTTTATTATAAAAAGCTGTTGATACAAAAACTTGTCATTGAAATTACAAAGTCATTTGTGGAATATCAGGTTTCTACATTTAGCACTACCTATTGAGATACATTACATTTGATATCTTTAAGAATGTCAAGTTTGAGTGATGACATGCAAGAGATCAGTCATTCATTCATTGCTGTTGTCATTCATCTTCTAAAGAAGCGTTTCATTTCTTTCTGTGCCCCCAAATGGTTAGATACACTGGTAAAGTAACCAGGTTGTTAGCAAGCTAGCTAATGAGGTAACATGACTGAAGAAGATGTAAACAAATGTCTGTTAGTAGTTTTGGAACTGGAACCACCCGCAACATGATTTATGAACAGGGCCTAAAAACAAACTTTTTGGTCCACCAGATTTAAAACATCTACCAGCCACTCAGAAGTCATATATTTGCTAAAACAATAACAACCAAAACCACAAAAGTTTTTTTTTTTCTCCAGGTTTCGGATTTCCCATAGTTTTTTGGGAGGTTTTCACTCTCAAAATCACTTTTTTTCTTCTTTTTTTATAGAAAAACAAAGAAAAATGGGATGTTCTAAGTCCACAACAATCCTTAAATCACATCAAGAGACCACTTTTCGGCATCGCTAACTAACTACACCAAGTGGTAGACACAGGCATTCCCATGCCATTCAGAAAGTTGCAAAAAATACAAATCACTGATGCATTCTTAAATATTCTGTAGGCTTTGGATTGAACAAATCTGTGCTCGCTTTTTTCTCCAGGGCAGGTCACTCTGCCCAGTGAAGCCCATCATTACAACAGTTATTATCCGTTTGATATTATTTTTTCTGATGTCGCACAGCAAAATATCTAGGAGCATATGAGATCAAAATGGTCGCACTTCAGAGCCCCCCCCCTCTCTCTCTCTCTCTTTATCTGACAGCTCTCTCTCTCTCTTTATCTGACAGCTCTCTCCATCTTTCAATCTTCTATCTGCTCTCCTGGCTTCAGACCTATCCATTACTTAATTAAATTCTCATTGTTTTCAGGAGGCCAATGGGAAAATATGCCATTGTTTACAATGCAATGCATTACAAGAGCATATTTGCTTATATGGCAATACTGTATCCATTACAATGCAATTAGATTATTGCGTATGAGGCAATACTGTATACCGCCACCATCACCTCAATGTTTGTGGTGAAGGTATAATGTATGGTAAATGGAACCCGGACATGAACTCTAGCTGGTGCAATAGAGGATGGGAAAATTATCTCTCTGTCATGTATAAATACTTTAACTCAATCCAATTTGAAGAATGCTCTGAGCTCCTTTTAGACCACTCAGAACAAACCTGATTACCGACAGTAAGGAGAAGCAGAACCTTCTACGTTGTAAATACAGGCCTCTGAGGAAAAGCATCGATATCAATGATCGGGATCAGCTCCTCTGAAATAGTCTATGTACACTGGTGGCAGCAGTGGGATCCAATGACATTAGGAAGCACTACACAAGTATGGATTGAAGAGTGTTTTTATTTTGTTTAAATGAGTATTGATATGTTTTGTGTTTTCAACCCTCTCGTCTCCTTTGTACCAAACCCAGGCACAACAACACTAAGACCTTCCTGATCTGGATCAATGAAGAGGACCACACCAGGGTCATCTCTATGGAGAAGGGAGGCAACATGAAGAGAGTGTTTGACCGCTTCTGCACAGGCCTGAAAGAGGTGCACGCACACACCAACCATGATGTGGCTGCAGACTGCCATTGTATGCGTGCAAGACAGTATGCATCTCAGGGCAAATAAAGTTCTAATGGAATGTTTTCATCTAGTCTAAAGTGTAATGTTTGGTCAGGTGGAGAGGCTGATCCAGGAGAAAGGCTGGGAGTTCATGTGGAACGAGAGACTGGGCTACATCCTCACATGCCCCTCCAACCTGGGCACTGGGCTCCGCGCTGGGGTACACGTCAACCTGCCCAAGCTCAGCAAGGTAACATCTACTCAGAGCACCAACAAGCATTTTACATTGACATATGAGCGACTTACAGGAGCAATTAGGGTTAAGTGCCTTGCTCAAGGGTACATCGGCAGATTGTTTCACCTAGTCGGCTTAGGGATTCGAACCAGCGACCTTTCGGTTACTAGCCCAATGCTCTTAACCGCTAGGCTACCTGTCGCCCACGTCATACCCAACACACAAGCTATCTTTGGCTTTTCCCAATACAGACACACACTCACAAATACACAAACCTCTCAAATTCAACTCTGGACCTCGAAGCCAGTTCCACTACGTGTTTTCATTCTTCCCCTGTAATCAGGGACTGATTTAGACCTGGGACACCAGTTGGGTGCGATTTAATTATCAGGTAGAACCGAAAAACCGGCAGTACTCCGGACCTCCGTGGAAGGATTTGAATGAGACCTTTACCCTTACACCAGGGACCAATACGATCCCCACTAGCCAGTCATCCACACCCATCGTCTTCTGAATGTTTCTCTTCGTTAGGGCACACCGTAGCAGAAATTTTTTATATCAGAAATGAGCGTTGAGATGGTATCTCTCCATTTCTGACCGTTTTTATGTTTGGCGTCTACTGAAAGTGACCCCTGTCTGTAAACCTGCAGGACCCCCGCTTCACTAAGATCCTGGACAACCTGCGTCTGCAGAAGAGAGGCACCGGGGGAGTGGACACTGCAGCCGTGGGCAGCACCTTCGACATCTCCAACCTGGACAGACTGGGGCAGTCGGAGGTAATGGGGAATACATGGTGTAGGTTTAGACACGGATCTTGAGTTGATTGAGCATTTTCCCCCTACTAATGGATCAGTTAGGATTGGAAGCAGGGGAAGCTGATCCTGGATCTGTACCTAGGAGAAACGTCACACAACCACGGGGTGCTTCTCAATAGTTTAAAATGGCGTACTGTCCACTCTCCATTACCGGTGCCTACAATACAAGGCCATGCAAAAGGGTTTAGAATTCGGATCACTAATCTTGATCACATAATGAGTAGTTATTTGGGATGCAAGATGATTTGTAGATCAGTGATTTGGCACAGTCTGGCCGCAATGCAATCGATCTCAAACACACACACTTCGGTTGCGTTCCAGGCCGACTACATTGCAGACGTTGCATCAACCATTAGTTGCGTGCCTCGTCCACAACTGTGCAGTCGGGCATCAGATTGCTAGGCCTATATCATAGGTTGTGCTTAGCTGATATGCTAAACCCCTACCTAGATGTTGTGAGATCTGTCATGCGTCTGCAATGCAGTCGCTCTCCAACACGCCCACTGGTTCTCTCTGTGATCAGGTCCAGCTAGTGCAGACGGTGGTGGACGGCGTCAACTACCTGATCGACTGTGAGAAGAAGCTGGAGAAGGGTCAGGACATCAAGATCCCCCCGCCCTTCAAGAAGTAGACTGATCTCCCCTCCCCCAGATATACCTCTTCCTACCAACCTCTCTGTCTCATCCCCATCAGAGCCATAGGTCATGTGTACACATCCAACTCTCTTTGAGATATGGCACCAAACGTTCCAAGAACATTACATTCTGGTAGTCATTGGGACGTTTGGAGCCAAAATGCCTGACCAGTTGGCTGAACTCTGCATACCTATAGCTCTAATCCCTATGAAATGGACTCCTGCTTAACACCTAAACCAGGTCTCTTTTGAAAAATAGACTAACCTGGCTAAATATAGGTTACATGAATAGAATAAACTTCTTAACCCTAAACTACAGCATGTCCTATACTCAATGTGTGTGCTAACATTTCTCCTCTCCTGTGTATTATTGGGTGTGGATGAATATGCCTATATCCTATACTGGTACTACTACAGTAGTTTATACCATGATATTGTTGAATGCTTGTTTCTGATAGGCTTGAAGAGCATTCTAGAGCGTGCATTATTTCCCTATAACGCACGGTATATCAGCACGGTAGAATTAAAAGGCTATAGTTCTATGTTCTATGTTTGAGCTGCTTTTGAAAAGCGAAAGTCGAATTGAAAACGTTATTAGCATTGTTGAATTAGATTTTCATAATGGCATTCTAGGACTGATGGTTTGGTTAGCTAAACTAGCAAGTCTGTTTGTTTGGTTACTACGGCAACTACTGTAGCTCTCTAGTAAGCTTGCTAGCAACTTCGGTGGATGTTGAACATATTTTTACTGGCAAATGAACACATTTGTAGCGGAACATTTTAAATTATAGCCATGGTATAAAAGGGATAATCAACTCGGGGCTCTATGCGTTCTCTGGAAAATAATGTAACTCTGTGGAAGGTCAGTTCCCCTCTGCTAGCGCTTCATTGAACATACCTTCCACGTCGTTAATTGTTTTCCATAGAACACATAGCCCCCCCCCCGTTGATTATCCCTTACATAATCCATCCATTTGTGGTAGTCTACATTCATAGTAGATAGTGTAACCATGTAGTGATTGTTGACAACTTGAATGTAACACAACAGCCATGTTGGACTGAAAATAACTTGTAAGGGGGTTTGTCTGTATGCTGGGGTTTTAATAAGACACAGGTTGAACTAAGTCATACTAATAATTCATGCAAAACTGCTCTGCTCAGTGCTTGATGATGTACTGTATGTATCAAGCAGCAATATCATTTCAACTCACCATCGAATGTCATTCTCAAACATATTTTATTAAAGAAACCAACTATTTAATACCTTTCTCATTCGTCATTAATATTATAAACCTGTTGCATGCCTGTGCAGACCTTGGTAACCTTTTAACTGTTAAAAGCTGGTGTTTTTGCGTGCATGAAAGCAAAGCTTTGACTGACTTACAGTAGGTGGGCGCCATGGTAACCAAGTGCTCAGTGCTTGATTGTGATCAGCTTGGTAGGGTTTGGTGTCATGACGACACAGAGCCTTTAACAACACTGCACTGTGCTAACTACTGTACCGAGACTTAAGGTCAAAAAGTGAGTTTGCATTGATTTATTTTCTGTTTGTATGGTAAGTGACAAGTATGTTAGCTATGAGAATGTACGATATGTAAGAACTACATATCTGAGTAGCATTCACAATATATACAATTACTACAATTGTAATCATAAATCATTGTTAATAAAACATGTTCTGATATTAGAAGTTGTAACCAGAGCACTGCCTCTAAAAACTGACCTCAGATCTGCCAGCCAGGCTAACATTGGACATTGTAACATAATCAGGCGGTGGAATCCCTCTCCGTATTCAACCAGTGAACGTCTGTCTGTTTGTTTGAAAAGCCTTGGAGAGGCATGTTGTTACTGAAATCTGGGTTGTGTTTATTAGAGGACACCGTAGCAAAACCTTTTGCAACGGTAAATGAAAATGAGCAGTTCTCATTGGACCAAGTATTTGGTTCCCGTTTTAACCTGGTCCTGATCTTGTCCACATTCTGATTGTGCACAGATTTTTAGACTGGTGTAGACGATTAAAATAAGTGATTGTGATGATCTTCCTCCGGATGTAGTCGGGACGTGTTGTACCTGGATCATCCTGACCAGAGCACCAATATCACATGAATTCAAATGTAACCAGGGCTATAAATACACTTTAAAAACATGTTCTTTTTTTTTTTGGTGCTGAGTAAGGTTGGCACTCAAAAGCCACATTGGGTTTCGAACGGTTGAACTTTGGTGTCGTAACCTGTGTTTAACGCCCTCCATCCACCTCCAACCTACCTCCCTGACCCTCCATCCACCTCCCTGACCCCTCCAACCAGCTCCAACCACCTCCCTGACCCTCCATCCACCTCCAACCTACCTCCCTGACCATCCAACCACCCCCCTGACCCTCCAACCACCTCCCTGACCCTCCATCCTCCCTGAGAGCCTTTTCTTTATTTGACGCTCACCTGTAAACTCCTCCCACTGATCTGTCACTAAGTTCTCTCCCTTAGTATTCATCCAACCAATCAATTCATACCGGCTACCTTCCGGCGACAGTCGGGAAGGTCTGATCACCATCAGTTATTTTAATCGTCTACACCTAAGAATGTGGACAACATCAGTCCACATGTTAGCAGCAGGTATAAACAGGGCTTTTAATAGCATGTGTAGACGCGGCCTACCTTGAACAGATTGTGATTGGATCTTCATCAGATCACGAAAAACCAGATGCTAAAGACCCAGTTACTCTGAAACACTAACCCTTCACGTCCTTCTACTACTACAACTGAATACAGTATGCCATATATAACACACCTTGCCATATAATTTATAATGCACCATGCCATATGTAATACAGCATGCCATATATACTCAGTTGCCATTTTATTAGGTACACCCATTTATTAGGACCCCCCCTTTACCTCCAGAACAGCCTGAATTCTTCTGGGCATGGGAACATTTCTCAATTGGTATCAAGGGACCTAATGTGTGCCAGGAAAACATTCCCCACACCATTACACCACAGCCACAAGCCTGTATCGTTGACTCCAGGCAGGATGGGGCCAAAGACTCATGCTGCATATGCCAAATCCTGACTCAGCATGACGCAACAGGAACCGGGATTCGTCAGACCAGGCGATGTTTTTCCACTCCTCAATTGTCTAGTGTTTGTGATTGCGTGCCCACTGGAGCCGCTTCGTATACATTTTATAAAACAAAAAATACCTTATTTACATAAATATTCAGACCCTTTGCTATCATTTTACATTTTAGTCAATTAGCAGACGCTCTTATTCAGAGCGACTTACAGTTAGTGAGTGCATACATTTTTCATACTATGAGACTCGAAATTGAGCGCAGGGTCATCCTGTTTCCATTGATCATCCTTCAGATGTTTCTACAACTTGATTGGAGTCCACCTGTAGTAAATTAAATTGATTGGACATGATTTGTAAAGGCACACACCTGTCTATATAAGGTCCCACAGTTGACAGTGCATGTCAGAGCAAAAACCAAGCCATGAGGTCGAAGGAATTGTCCGTAGAGCTCCGAGACAGGATTATGTCAAGGCACAGATCTGGGGAAGGGTACGAAAAAATGTCTGCAGTATTGAAGGTCCCCGAGAACACAGTGGCCTCCATCATTCTTAAAAAGAAGAAGTTTGGAACCACCAAGACTCTTCCTAGAGCTGGCCGCCTGGCCAAACTGAGCAATCGGCGGAGAAGGGCCTTGGTCAGGGAGGTGACCAAGAACCTGCTGGTCACTCTGACAGAGCTCTAGAGTTCCTCTGTAGAGATGGGAGAACCTTCCAGAAGGACAACCATCTCTGCAGCACTCCACCAATCAGGCCTTTATGGTAGAGTGGCCAGACGGAAGCCACTCCTCAGTCAAATCCACATGACGGCCCTCTTGGAGTTTGCCAAAAGGCACCTAAAGTCTCTCAGACCATGAGAAACAAGGTTCTCTGGTCTGATGAAACCAAGATTGAACTCTTTGGCCTGAATGCCAAGCGTCATGTCTGGAGGAAACCTGGCACCATCCCTACGGTGAAGCATGGTGGTGGCAGCATCATGCTGTGGGGATGTTATTCAGCGGCAGGGACTGGGAGACTAGTCAGGATCGAGGGAAAGATGAGTGGAGCAAAGTACAGAGAGAATCCTTGATGAAAACCTGCTCCAGAGCACTCAGGACCTCAGACTGGGGCAAACGTTCACCTTCCAACAGGACAACGACCCTAAACACACAGCCAAGACAACGCAGAAGTGGCTTCAGGACAAGTCTCTGAATGTTCTTGAGTGGCCCAGCCAGAGCACGGAGTTGAACCTGATCAAACATGCAGCGACGCTCCCCATCCAACCTGACAGAGCTTGAGAGGATCTGCAGAAAATAATGGGATTAACTCCCCAAATACAGGTGTGCCAAGCTTGTAGAGTCATACCCAAGAAGACTCAAGGCTGTAATCACTGCCAAAAGTGCTTCAACAAAGTACTGAGTAAAGGGTCTAAATACTTATGTAAATTTGATATTTCTGTGTTTTATTTGTAATACATTTGCAAAAAAAGTATGTTTTTGCTTTGTCATTATGGGGTATTGTGTTTAGATTAATGAGGGAAAAAAACAATTTAATCAATTTTAGAATAAGGCTGTAACGTAATAATGTGGAAAAAGTCAAGGGGTCTGAATACTTTCCGAATGCACTGTATATAATACACCATGCCATATATAATACACCAAGCCATATATAATACACCATGCCATATAATACACCATGCCATATATAATACACCATGCCATATATACAGTGGGGAGAAAAAGTATTTAGTCAGCCACCAATTGTGCAAGTTCTCCCACTTAAAAAGATGAGAGAGGCCTGTAATTTTCATCATAGGTACACGTCAACTATGACAGACAAAATGAGAAAAAGAAATCCAGAAAATCACATTGTAGGATTTTTAATGAATTTATTTGCAAATTATGGTGGAAAATAAGTATTTGGTCAATAACAAAAGTTTTGTCAATACTTT